TTATTATAACCATAGTATGAGTAAACCCTATTCTGATGATTAAGGCCCCCGCATTACAGGTTTAATCTTGGTGGCTTACAGCGACCGTTTGTGTGATAAAACTCGAGCATCTGAGTGTGGAGGGATTTCCCGTAACGTCCCTTTCAGGCCCGGAAACCCCTGTACGCTACGCAACCTTGAACGCACAACTCCCTCAAGTACCTCAATCCTGAATCCGTGTTCCACGAAATTTTTCCAGATGCATGTCTCAGAATGGACAGCATTCGTGCTTTGAGGTTTAAGATTTCGCATTCAGCCTTTGTTTATCTTGTCAAGACTGAGCTGGCTAGTCACTACGAACCACTAACCGTCTTCGTGGTTGTAGTCCAATACACATCTTGGCGGCTGCAACTGTAGCAGAAGCAGCAGCAGTAGAATAACGATAGTGGTAGCAGTGGCAGTCGCAGTCGCAGTAGTAGCAGTAGTAGTACTAGTGGTAGTTGTTGTTGATGTGGTAACGGTAGTGGTAGGGTAGTGGTCGTGGGAGTGGGAGTCGTAGTGGGAGTGGGACTGGCAGTGGACAAGGTAGTGATAGTAGTAGTGGCAGTGGGAGTTTGAGTGGTAGTGATAATGGCAGTAGCAGGAGAAGGAGTAAGAGCAGTAGCTGCAGCAGCAGCAGTAGTAGCAGCAGCAGTAGTAGTAGTAGTTGTTGTTGTTGGTTGTAATACTGATCAGTAGCCGCCGTTGTTCCCCTCTTGTTCGTCGCGCTGGCGGTGGTGACAGTTTTGGTTGGAGGCTTAGCAGAAGGAGCAGCAGTAGTAGCAGTCTCATCCGTGGTACAACGACGATTACTCATGATGGTGTGTGCTGCTATAGTAGCAACCCATACGCTGGGAGGCTGCCTCCCTCTCCGCTGGGTGTTTCTGGGGCCGGCCGGATGCCAGGCAATGATGACAGGTCATCTGTCACATCCTTCCAGCTTCCAAGAGTTCAGCTCAGCACCGCAACGCGGACTATTGAGGGTGTTCAATTCCGTGGCCCGTTCCAGAAAGCACCAGCCCGTCTCTACAAAGCCACCTTGCAAGCTCCACAGCAAGACTAAAGCTTGCCAAACACCCTTTCCTACTGCCGGGGACATGTGTCGTTGAGAGATGCGCACGCAAGAACATCTAACCCTGCTGCTGGAAGTTGAGCAAAACTCGCGGTGCGTCATCGTCCTTCGCTTCGAAGGAAGCCAGCTGCTCCCCCCTTGTCTCAGGAGCATAGTAGTCCTTGCACGACAAGGATTGTCAGCTCATCCGAGAAAGACATAGTACTGCTAATTTTACCGGGGACATGCGATGCGCACACGATGGTACGCGCTTTCGTCTTTGGGACCAATTCTTCGCACATCTCTCCGCACACACCGCACATACCGGCCTACCCACCCAGAGATCCCAATACGCCTTAATCAAGAAATATACCTTGAATTATAGAGGCCTTAGTATTATGATTTAAGGTATATTCCGTAATTATAGGGTATTGGGTTCTCTGGGCATCTATCTACCGACATCATACGTACACGCACGAACCCCCTCACACACACACACAGAGACAGACACACAGAGACCAGACCAGACCGACAGACAGACTATAAACGACCCGAAGACCACAGACAGACAAAGGCACGCGTATTATATACATATACTCATTCAAGGATATCTCTGTTTATTTCAACTTATTTCTGTACTTATGATCATATCCTGCTACAATCGGTTCGCGTATTGTTTATTTCGAGAGACAGACAGACAGACAGACAGACAGACAACGAGAGAAAGATAAGCAGGTAGGTGGGTAGATAGCCGAGACTGGGAAGTCTAATAGAGCGGTTGGCATGTAGGTATAGGTAGGTAGGTAGGTAGGTAGGTAGATGCATAGACACAAATAAAACAGCATGCGGCTCCATCAACCGTCATCTTCCACTACTTCTCTAATTGTTGTACGATGGTAGAGCCTGGCTGATAGTTGACTGAGTAGTGTGGCTGCATGTCCATATTATATGCCTACTGCATATAACTTCGCATGACCGTGTATGCTTCGATACTTACGTCACCCACATCCAAGCAAATCAGAAGCAACGATTTCAGAATGATAATACGACTCCAAATAAACCCAAGAATTCTGCATGGGAGAACTAGGGCATGCTGTCGTCTGAACCAAACTCCGGCAAGCCGGGTGTCTCGACTACGGCGCCCCATTCCTGTCTCTGGATTTCGTGCACGAGAAACTTCGATCATCAGGTACAGGACGGAACAAAACCAGACTCAGATCCAGGCCTAAACCCTAAACCCGAAACCAGAGCTGTGGGGGTGAGAGCACCACGGCTACCTGGCCGCAACATAAAACTCTCCCCACAAAACCCTGAACCCTGAGCCTAAGCTCTGAAACCCCAAAGCCGAAGGAGGGTAACTAATCAGACCTCTGATTCCAGAACACAATATTCGGGGCTCGGGTTTAGTAATTAGGGTTTCCGGTTTATGGTATGATATGACCAAAGCTGAACAAGATCATGTGGCTACACGGTACGATTCAGTGTAAGATAATACTCAAAGCTCCAGAAAACCAGGTATCGCAATTTCATGGTAGGCCCGTACTATTCATTACGGCTCCTTAGAACATGTTTCGAGAGTTGGCCCCATCTCCCCTATTCTAATCAAGGATGCCCCTATATTGCTCGAAGTATGTCCGAGACTCGTAGACTGTGGAGAGCGCCGGCTGCACATTCCAGACCTGAAACCTTGCTCAGAAAAGGTTTAGGTTTCAGGGTTTAGGGTTTAGGGTACCTTAGAGTTTAGGGTTTAGGGTACCTTGGAGTTTAGGGTTTAGGATTCGGAAGTGCGCTGGAGGCCTGCAGTACTTGTTTTCTGGTGAGGCGGATAGGGGTTCAGGGTTCAAACCCACCTTGAGGGAGTTTAGGGTCTGCGTTTCCCCAAAAGCCGCCTACAATGGATATACTACACTGTATGTATTTGACGGACCAGATAGGACCCCTGCTCTAATCGCTCAGCCTCCTGCAGTATCTATCCACCGAGCTGCTTGAAAACCATCACCGCATTTAAGCGTGTAGGGTGCGAGGCTTGAGGTTAGGGCTCAGGCTCTCAAGCCCTCAACCCTCAACACTGAACCTTAAAGCCTAAAGCCTGAACCCTAAACCATAAACCCTAAGCCCTAGACCCTGAACCCTAAAGCCCCAAACCAAGGATCGAATCCGAAACCCTAAACCCCAGGTGTTTTTGAGGGTTCAGGGCCCAGGGGTTTGGGGGTTAGGGGTATAGGGGTTTAGGGGTTAGGGGTTTAGGGGTTTAGGGGTTTAGGGGTTTACGGATTTAGGGGTTTAGGGGTTTTGGGGGTTTAGGGGTTTTGGAGTTTAGGGGTTTACGGATTTAAGGGGTTTTGGGGTTTTGGGGGTTTAGGGGTTTTGGGGTTTTGGGGTTTCGGGGTTTGGGGGGTTTCGGAGTTTAGGGGTTTAGGGGTTCAGGGGTTCAGGGGTTTAGGGGTTTAGGGTTTAGGGTTTAGAGGTTTGGGGTGCAGGGCCCAGCACGTAAGGTTTAGGGGTCCGCAGACCCTTGACAGATTGCTCGCGGCCTCCAACAATACGATCTGTCAAAGCTATTCGGCAATGGCGTGCCTTTTCTCAACGCGGGTGTGCACAACAAACAATCGAAAAGTGCTGCGCTCACTTGCTCGCAAAGCACAAGACATGTTTACCAATCACCTTAACCAACCCGAGTGGCACACATCTCGTGGTTTTCTTTGTCACCCCATGCTTTCTGGAGTTCTCCATGTTGCCTTTACTCGTACTGATAAGTATTCTAGAATGATAAGACAAAGACAATGGTTCTCGACTTATCCTAGTTTTGCTTGTTCTTAGCTCCTGTTTACAAGGATCTCTATGACTTCGATAAGTTTCTCAGGACCGGAACATACCCCGTACAGCCTGCCATCCACAGCCCGAATACCCAGAACCCCTAAACCCCAAAACCCAAACCCTAAACCCAACTCCGGCCAGGGGGCTCTTGAGTGACGTTAAACTGCACACACGTCTTGCCAGAAGTTTTCAACTCCTCACAGCAACCGTTGACTTCAGGGTTTGGGTTGAGCGTTTAGGGTTTACAGGTCCTTGTGCAACTGGTTTTGGATGAATCATAGACCCTAAATCCTGAACCCTACATCCTAGACCGCCCAACTAAGAACTTAAACCTTGCGCCTTTGATGCTTTCATCGCTCACTACGGGACAAAGCTCTTTTCCCACCCTTCTGCACCCCCGTTCTGATATGTGCAGGTGCCCTGCGATGAGCCACCGACCTGTTTGGGAATGCGTGGTGCACTCAGGTTAGGCATATGGTCTGCTGCAACCTGCCACGGGAAAGCAACAAAGGGGAAAGGCAGAGGGGAGAAGGACCTACTATAGGGGGCCTTAACAGTTAGAAGTTAGAATAGAGTTCTGGGGCCCATTCATAAAAACTAGACTATTGAGGCCGCTATATTAAACCGAAAGGACCCCCCAGGTATATACCCTTAATATAGCTACTATATGCTACTATATACCCATTATATAGCCCATTATAGGGTAGGGGTCCCCATTAAGGGTCCCTTTTACAGGCCCACGAAGAAACCCCTGCACTCAGGAACGAGTAGCACCACGCGGCTCCTAAAATTGTAGAACTCGCTATCGCCATATGGGTAGTTATCAAAATTACGGTCCTGTTTTGGGTACACTAAATCATAGGTGCCGTATTATAATAGGGATCCAAAAAGGGACCATAATTTTGACAGCCACCCATATACATTCTGCTCATATTTTACGTCCCACCAACTACTGCGACAGTTCCTAGCATCATAGCATGTGTGTTACTCTCATTGCTGCCGGCCATCACCTTTGCCCTGCAGACTCTACGGTGCAAGTCTTGCAGTTTATCTTCAAACACAATGTCACCAAAAGGCAACCAATTCCACACCGCGGCACCCCAATCCCTAGATCCTAAACTCCAGGCTCTCGCCGTGTCTCGGAGTCCTCCATGTAGAGATCCACCGTTCCATCACCGAGATCCCATCCTTTGTTTAGTCTTCATCGAAAACTGTCATGACCACTGCTTCGCCTGGTAGAATCGCTGCAATTACAACCACCCCCCCCCCCCCTTCACTCTTCAAATGTCTACTACTGATGCCGGTTTAACTCTCTCTCTCTCTCTCTCTCTCTCTCTCTAAACCCTAACCCTAAACCCTAAACCCCTAAACCCTAAACCCTCTCTCTCTCCAATACGAAGTCATAGCATCAGTCTCTTGCAGGGCCAAGGCCGGCCTGAAACGTGAGGGCAACGAACGACATTGAGGCCCTATACTGGGCTATATAATGGGTATATAATAGCTATATTATGGGTATATAATAGCTATATTAAGGGTATATAATAGCTATATTATGGGTATATACCTAGGCTCCTAGTTGGACCAAAACTCGTCTGTTTGTCATCGGTGCTGTTCCTGCGAGCAAGTTTATGACAGCTCCTCCTGCGACTATGATCCGTAATCGCCGTTGTGCAAAGATGGTAAGAATATCACACCAGCAGCTGGAGAAGCACGCGTGTAGAAGAAATCAGCGGCGGAAGCAGATGTTGTTGTCGCTGGTGCTGTTCTCCGTATTCCCGTCCTTTTTGTTATCCTTGTCCTTCGGGGGTTTGGTCTTGCTCCCGTTGTGGTCGTCGTTGGAGCAGCACAAGGAGGAGGAGTAGTAGCAGAAGCAGCAGTAGCAGCAGCAGCAGCAGGAGCAACTGCAGCGGTAACAACAACGGCGGCAGCAGCAGTAACCGTAGCAGCAGCGGCAATAGTAGCAGTAATAGCTGTAGCAGCAGCAGCAGCTGTAGCAATAGCAGCAACAGCTCTGTAGCAGAAACAGCTGCAGCTGTAAAGTAGCAGAACTGGAAGGAGTCGCAGCAGGAAGAGCAGCATGTATCAGTCATCATACCCAAATAACAAGAGCACTGAAAAAGGTGCTAGCGAAGAAGAAACCCAAAGTAGGGAGTACAGTAGTCGTAGCACACCAGCAGCAGGAGGAGGAAGAGGAGTAGCAGTAGAAGCAGTAGTAGTAGTAGTAGTAGTAGTAGTAGTAGTAGTAGCAGGAGTAGTATGACCGGTAGGAGTAGTAGTAGTAGTAGTAGTAGTAGTAGCAGTAGTAGTAGTAGTAGCAGCAGTACCAGTGGCAGTGGCAGTGGCAGTGCCAGTGCCAGTAGCAGTAGCAGTAGCAGGTCGTCGTAGTAGTAGTCGTAGTAGTAGTAGTAGCAGTAGCAGGTCGTCGTAGCAGTAGCAGTCAGTAGTAGTAGCAGTAGCAGTAGCAGTAGCAGTAGCAGTAGCAGTAGCAGTAGCAGTAGCAGTAGCAGTAGCAGTAGCAGTAGCAGTAGCAGTAGCAGTAGTAGTAGTAGTAGTAGTAGTAGTAGTAGTAGTAGTAGTAGTAGTAGCAGTACTACTAGTAGTAGTAGTAGTAGTAGTAGTAGTAGTAGTAGTAGCAGTAGTAGTAGTAGTAGCAGTAGTAGTAGTAGTAGCAGCAGCAGTAGTCGTCGTCGTCGTAGTAGTAGTAGTAGTGGGAGTAGTATGATGTTGTAGGAGTAGTAGTCGCCGTCGTCGTAGTCGTAGTCGTAGCTGTAGTCGTAGTCGCAGTTGCAGTTGCAGTGGCTGTGGCAGTGGCAGTGTCAGCGGCAGCGGCAGAGGCAGAGGCAGAGGCAGAGGCAGAGGCAGCAGCAGTGGCAATAGCAGTAGCTGTAGCAGTAGCATAGCATAGCCAGTCGCAGTTGTAGCAGCAGCAGCAGCAGCAGTAGTACTAGCAGTAGCAACGGGTGCACTAATGTATTGACAGAGCAGAAGCAGCAGCTTCAGAAACAGTAGTGGGGGCAGGCACAGTGCTGTCACTTGCAAGAGTGCTGTCAGCAATACTATCATCTCCTGTTCCTGCTGACATCAAACGCATCATAATGTCAAGCTACTGGACGACAGCACTATACCAACAGGAAGAAATAGGAGTTACCTCTGGCACTGTTTACAGTTACTTCACAGTTACTCTGAAATTGCTTGCTGCGAATACGACTGGCACTAGTTCAGTACTTCATGGTTGCCAGTTCGGTAGCTTGAGCCTACTATCAATACGCTTGCTACTACCATAGCTGCCATAGCCACTGCACCATCATGTGGTAACTACTACTACTACTACTACTACTACTACTACTACTACTACTACTACTACTACTACTACTACTACTACTACTACTACTACTACTACTACTACGAACACGACGATGAAAGAATATGAAAGATGTAGCGCACATCATCCCAAGGTAAGTAGTATCAGACACGAGTGTGTGCAGCAAACATGCTCCGTGGAACAACCCATTAGCGTCTCGGGCTTAGGGCTTTGGGCCTTAACAACGGCATCCCGCGCCTCAAATGGGGTTGGGGCTTACGGCTCAAGGAAGTTAGGGATCATGCTCTTCAAATCCAGCGTCGCTTCACCACCTTCTCGTCCTTTAAGGACTGCAGAGATTTCACCGAGGCGGCATAGCCCGTGAAGAGTCCCACCTTGACGTAGGGTTTAGGGTACCCCTACCAAGGATGCTTCAACCCTAAAGCCTATCCCTCAAATCCGAATGTGACTACAGCAGAGATATCGAAAGTCTTCTGTGTTCTGGTGCGGATTGTTGCGGGTTGCATGCAGCTCTCATTGTGGCCGCAGCTAGAGTCCCAGATGATTAGAACACGGGCATGTGCCATGAGGGTTCAGGGCTTGGGAGGGGCAATAACGAGGCAAGCCCTTGTGGGAAAACACCTACCACGACATATTCAGGCTCTGAATATTCGAAATCGGATATTTTTGGCCGAAGCCCTGTGCCCTGCAACACCAAGAAAGTGGGCATCGAAATCCCCATGGTTCAATCGACAGCGCTTCGAGAAAGACATCGTGCATATAATATAGGGGCCTTAGTAAGTAGAATAGGGTTTTGGGGCCCCTTATACTATAGTTATAATCAGGAACCCCACAATAGTATTAGTAACTATTGAGGCCCCTATAGGCCATAAAGTACATGCTTCGCTCGCCCCACTTGCCCGACTCCTTGGCCATCACAGCTGAATGCATCAATGCACCTTTCCCCTAAACCCTAAACCCTAAACCCCTATACCCTAAACCCTTTCCATAGCAACCCCGGAAAACTTGGCTCTTCCAACACAAAAATAACCGTGACCCGGAGGAGTAGGTCGTCTAGGGTTTAGGGTGTAGGGTGTAGGGCCAGGGAGCTACTTCAGTTGTAGCAGGAACCGCGAAGGAGTTGCCAATTCCAGAGCAACCCCATCGCGCCGACAAGACTTTCTTCATCTCTCCTCTGTGCCGGGCCACGCTGATGATGGACATCGAGCCGGCAGCTGGAGTGCAAGACGGCCTGGGTTGACCTTTGAAGCACCAGTACGAAGAAGATGAAACAATGGTATTTAAGCCACCCAGAACCCTGTAGAAGGGAAATGCGTGTGTTGTAGACTTCCAGTTTCATCACACCTAAACCTCCCCTCAAGAATGCATCCCAGTCAAAGGCTTCATGAGCGCTTGCTACAAACACTGTACACGAAGAACAGCACTGGAGAGCGTGCAAGACTGGAAGAAAGAAATATGAGCAAAGTAACAAGTGTGGCTGGAGACAAAAATAAGAACAACAAAACAACTGAAACTGCACTGCGCTCCACGTCGCGCATGTCCAAAACCCTAACCCCAAACCCCGAGACCCTAAACCCCTGAACCCTAAACCCGAAGGCCTAAACCCTTAGCCCGGAAAGCCTAAACCCAAACCCCAAACCCTAAACCCTTAAACCCCTGAACCCCTAAACCCAAAGGCTCCGAAGATCGGCACAGACATGGACTCTGAGCAACATCTCAACAGCCACTCGCTTAAGGAGACTTGAGATTGAAGGACCCGAGTTCAAGCATGTTTAGGGCATTAGGGTTTAGGGTTTAGGGGGGTGTGGGGCGTTAGGGCTCAATAATAGAGTTACCTCCAGTCGTATCAAGGATCCCTCTATAAACTTGAAGTCATGTGCCTTCATAAAGAAATAAGTTGGGCTCTCCAACATAGGAGCCGGATTAATTTCAAAAACGCAACACCAGCCAACTGCCAACTTTTCTTTGCCACCGAGGCACTGCATGCCTGTCCAGTGTGTGCTTAGTCTTAGGGTTTCCGATGTTGGGTTTAGCCCTAAACCCTGAACCCTAAACCCCTAAACCCTAAATCCCAAACCCTAAATCCTAAACTGGCCTGAGTGTTAGGGCTGAAACGGACTCAGAGGGGCCTTGGGAATTGGGAGGCCAGGGCTTCGTTTCAGGCTCGAGCCTCAGGCGAAGGATCGCTCCCTTCAAGGGCTGGGAGGCCAAAAGGGGGGGGGGGGGGTTTAGGGTTTAGGGTTAGGGTTTAGGGTTAGGGTTTAGGGTTTAGGGTTTAGGGTTTAGGGTTTAGGGTTTAGGGTTTAGGGTTTTGGGTTGGGTAGGAATTCCTTAATATGAACCCTATTATGGGAACCCTAATCCCTACTAAACCCCCATAGGCTAAAACCCCTTTAGGCCTCCTATGATCAAGGGCTGCTTGCCGAACTTGTCGTCTTGGGCAGCCGACCGTTGTCTCAGAGGTTTCTCTGGTTAGAGTTTAGGGCGTATGGCTTAGGTGGATAAGCTCGATCACAGTCGGGTTGGGAACTACATAATTAACAGTTATAGTAGCACAAGGCCGTGTCACACACAGTCGGTTCAAGTTTACGCCCGCTGTCCCAAACACAAGCTACATCCTACATCTAGAGAAGGAGCACAAACTTGCGAAGTGCCCTCTCGTTCATTCTATGAGTCCAGTATGAAGCAGCTCGCTTGGCAAGGTCACACTGCCATCTTTTGTCCTCCCCGTTGGCCGGCTCAAGGAACTTCAAATATGCTCGGGCTAAGAGGACTGGAAACATGTCGATCCCAAATGTCAGAATTTGAAATGGACGCCTCGACACCAAACTCTATGCCCGGAAACCCTTCTTAACCCAGAACCTCTTACTGCTGTCCAGTGTGCAAGCTGGACAACCCCTCCCCCCCCCACCCACCCACCCCACCGCCCCCGACGGCACGGCCTGCACAGCGGAGGAATACCAGTTCACCTGCCAAGCGTGTCTTGTAAGGATACCGATAGTTCTCCAAATCAAGGTCCCTCTCAAATCCCCAAAGAGTGCGGCACCCTTATACAAAGGACCCAAAAGGAACTCTAATTTAGAAAACTACTTGTGCAGCGTTTCGGATGAAATCTGCCAAGCCAGGGGCTATCATGCGGTGCTTCTATGTTATGGTGATATAGGAAGCACGTCACAACAACACAACAGCTCATGTTTGAAACCAAACAACACAACTGGACTTTGAAGTAACCAGGGAGAAAAAAGTATAGACTTTCATTCATAATGGTTCCTTTAAGGAACAGGTACCAAAAAAACGTATTCAAGTATGGTACTCCAAACCCAGGACAATGGCTTGCTAGGATGCTCCGTCCTCTATGCTATGCTCCCAGGCCTCCACGTCATAGCAGGGGAGGACCACCTCGGCCGACACTAGGGTTTAGGGTTTAGGGAGCCGAATGAGAAAAGCTAAGAACGAAAAACGGTTTCGTCTTACAAACTGCTCCTCAGCATTGTGCAAGAAATATGCCGCCAATTCTCCGAGTCCTCTGTTGGGACACAAACCCCACAAAAAAGAAAAAAAAAGAACGCTTTGAGGGAATCGGCGGCCCCGAGCACACGGCAGTACCGACTGACGCATGGTACTACCAGGGCGTGACATGGGGGTTTCCGAAAATAAGGGACCCTAGTATAGTACCCTAAATAGTAGGATCCTCAAAATAAGGACCCCAAAATAAGGTACCCCTTATTCTCGGAAACTCCCACACGACGAGGAAAGCCCTGGCCTTAAAAGAAGAGCTGGGCGGCAGGCCCCCGCTTGCCCCCAAAAAGCTAGGAGGGTGGTATGAGATCCCAAACCCTGATCTGTAAACCCTACTGAAGCCCTAAACCCTAAACCCTGAACTCGAAAGAAAACTGGAACCCAAAACCCTAAAACCCTAACCCTGAACTCTGAAGCCTGCTTTTGGTGAGCAGGTTCATCACAGATCAGCTTTCCTTTTTGTTGTAATAATAATACTATAATAATAGTACTATAATAATAATACTGTAATGCCCTCAGCACAGAAATCCATGTAGCCCGCTCTGCCGCATGGTGTTTAGGGGTCTTCTGAAGCAGGGGCCTCAAGAGCCTTACGGTTTGGCTTGGGGTGAATATAGGGTTCCTTAAAAGGGATCTATACTGGAATCTATAAGGTTTAGGGTTTGGGGTTTGGGGTTCGGAGTTTAGGGTTTATGGCGTTGAGAAGTAGAATAGGGCCGTGGCGGCTGTGGGGTCATGGCAAAGCTACAGAGGGACTATAAGGCACAGTAGAAGTGCATAAGGGCTACGAACGACGATAGCATACTTTACCTGGGGGCGATACGGGGATGATGCCATGACTCCTATATTGGCTGGCAGAACCAACCTTCCTTCCCAATGTCAAAAAAGTTCAGAGCCAGTTTAATGCTACGGCTTGAGGGTATAGGGATGTCCAGGGTATAAGACTTACCTTTGGTTAGTAGTAAATGGAGGAATGGGGTATAATTATAACTACTATTACTACCATTCTTCCATTCCCTACTAACCGAAGGTAAGAAGATTCAGAGCTCAGGGCTGAGAGTAAGCTCGGCCTTGGGCCTTAAAAGCTAGACTTTCAGACCTGAATCGCCAACCTTAGACACGAAATATTCAACTCCAGATCCTACAACGTAGAACTTCAACTTTAAGCGCTGCACTGACGGTTCAGGCTTCAGGGTTTAAGGCTTACATGCCATCCATATACCTGCATCTGGAAGCATTCAATCCATCATGGAATGTTGAGACGCCTTCCAAACGATAACCTTTCTAGACCAGAAAATAAAAACCCTAGGGACACCCAAGAAGTTCAGACTCTAAGGTTCCAGCTGCTAGCTAGGTCACGAACAGAACTAGCCCTGTCTGGGATTCCTGCCGTGTCGGGCATGTTATACCTGTCCGTGCAGGGATGTCACAGAGGCCACCATGGACCATCTGGGGATCTCAGAAAAACTACGCTACCTTTGGTCTTGGGATACTGGTCGGTGCTGTATGGTACCTTTTTCACAGCAGTTCAGACAAAGCTCCTGCACCGAGGCAGATTCTGGAGTTCGTGTAGGAGGTCGCAAGCGAGGAAGCGGAGAGGGTTTCGGGTTTTTTTTTTTGAGGGCTCTTTTCCAACTGGTTAAGCGGGAATGCCTTACCAGGGTTTTTTTTTTTTTTAAGCGCCTCTTTTCCAACTTGCAATCCGCGTGTCGGAAATCCCGTGGGGGAAGGCTAGTCCGCCACTTACGGGCTTCAAGCTCACATCCCAGCAAAAGTACAGCACCTCAGCACATCCGAGCATGTTTCTATAAGCCTGTAACCCTCAAGGTCCATCCATTCGGCGATGCTTGGCTTCAGGGTATACTCCTTCCTTCTGTGTGGCCTCCACTTCCATCACCGCACTGCTGTCCCCATCTTTTAAGGGTTTCGGGTTTAGGGTTTAGGGAAATTCAAACGAGCACAAGAAAGAAAGCCTGCCCATGCGACCCCGGCCTCAGGGAAGCCGTCACGAGGGCCGTGCCACTACCTCTCCAGGTTCAATGGCAAGGCAACAGCCCACGCAAGATTCCTTGAGATCATCTGAGATCGTGACTACTAGCTGTTGCTGCTACGTTTACGAATAAAGTGTGACTCACGGTTGCCATTGTGACCATCACCACCATTGTTGCTACCAATACTACGATTTACATTGGGCTCTCGTGCATGCAAAGCTGCCAGAATACTAGAAAACACAGACAAGAACCGCGCAAAATCCCCCAAACCCCAAACCCCAAACCCCCAAAACCCAAAACTCTAAACTCCTAAAACCCTAGACCCTAAACCCCTTTTGCCACCTGAAATCGGCCGTAAGCCCAGATGCCGCGCCTGAAGCCGACACAGAAATCTGGTTAGCACCGACAGCCACCGATGGAGCGAAACTCTGGAGGACGTCCATGTTCCTTGCAGCCAGCGCCCAGCGGTTCGGGTTATATAAGGGTTTGCGGCATTTGAGGGCCCAGCAAGTTCAGAGCTTTAGGTTGCAAGGGCTTTTCGTAAGAACATGATGTGTGGTGTAACACTGCTGCAACCAGGGTGTCGTAAGCTCTAGCACCCCACGGCATCTCAGATAGTACAAACAAGCCCCTCACGTCTGAACTATGAAGGGCCTCTTGGTTCTATGCTACAACAAAAGGAACAGGGTTATTATAGTATTATTCTTATAGTATTATTATTATAGTACTATTATTATTGTATTATTGTTAGAACAAAAGGAAAGCTGATCTGTGATGAAGCAATGACGGGTTCAGGACAGTAGCCTGTGAAGATGACAAGCAGCCCTGGCATGGAGGCCCCAACCTCAAAACCCTTCCAAACCGATGTCAGCCTAACCCAGAGCCTCCAAAACCCCTTAATTAAGGAATATGCCTTAAATTATAGTAGGATCCCTAATATGATTTAAGGAATATTGCTTAATTCAGGGGTTTTGGAGTCTCTGGGAACAGCCCTAAACTTATGTCAACCTTTGAAAACCTCCTACAGGGCCATAAACCCTGAATGGTACAGCTTTAGTGCTGCGGGCCGGGGGGCGCTGCATTGATCTGGAATGACTCCTGGTTGCTGCCACCATGGCCAACCTTTCCGCGGGAAAGCTGGCAGAGAGAACAATGGCAACACAGACGATGCCAAGATTCAGGCTCACCCCACTGCTTGGAAAGATGGACTTGCTCATGGCCATACTCACTGCCAACAGCCATCGTTGTGGTCATCAACACCTTATCATCATCATTCGATCTCCTTCTTCCTGTTCATTACCATCACCTTGACCAGCGATGCCATGATTCCGGAAAAGCTGCATACACCGTCCGTCAAGCCTCCATCGCGACTCCGAATCCAAAACTTGGCTTGGGGCTTGAGAATACTAGGGGCTGCGTGGTATGCTTCGGGCCATAAGGTTTGGAGTGTATTTGTAGCATTTCGGGTGCCTGGCTTGTGTTGTGACAGAGATGTCCCTAGACCTCAAACCCTATTACCCTATTACCCTCAACCCTAAACCAGAAAACCCGCCTGGAGGGTCACATCCACGTTCTGCCCGGCTGCCGTGGCATAACTTGCGAGGGCATTCAGAGCAACGACGGTGTCCTGGCAGGTTTGTGATGGGTTTAACATTCTTGGGGTATGGATTCCTCAATGAACACTACTATGGGAACCCTAATCCCTACTAAACCACCATAGGCCAAAAACCCCTCCTATGGCCTCCTATGATACCCTTATAGATCCTCTACGGGAACCCCTATAGACCCCTTTAAAGGAACCCCAGGGATCCCTAGCCCCCATAGGCTAAAACCTCTTTTGGCCCCCTTTAGGGCCTTTGTGGCCTTTGGGTTTTTGCAGCCTCGGGGCTCAGAGCTTCGTGGTTAGGATTTGGGAGGTTCCGAACCAAGAGAGCCCAATACCCCTTAATTAAGGAATATGGCTTAAATTATGTAGGGCTTCATATTATGATGTAAGCTATATTCCTTAATTAAGGGGTATTGGGCTCTCTGTAAACATAGGGGACCCTGATATCGTACCCTAAATGGTAGGATCCTTAGTACAAGGACCCCAAAACAAGGACCCCTAATTTTCGGAAACTCCCATCTAGGGGCTCGCGATTTAGGGTTGAGTGCTTGGAGACGTGGGGATAAGTGAAGTTCCTGAGGGTGTCGGGGTCCTCTTGGAGGGTCGGGGGACTTGGTAACTGGTTCTTTTAAGGCCTTATAAGTACCATAACCCCAATTAGAGTCCCTTTTTCGGTACTTATAAGTCTGCTTACTACCTACTTACAAAGTCCCGCGACCCTCCAAGTGGGGTCGACCGACCCACAAGTTGTGGTTTGTAGCTCCCTACAATGCCACACAAGGATCAAAGCTTGTATGACCTGCTCTACTATCCTGAACTCTAAACCCCGAACACTAAACTGAAGCAGGCACATCGGACCACACAGAGCACCCAAAAAAAAACAACCGAAACTCCGGCCTCCGGAGTGTACTGCTGAAGCCTCCAAGCTGCCTTTCAATCCTCCACCTTAGGCCTGAACCCAAAGCCAATTCCCACTAAATCTCCAAATACCCTTCACTCCTACAAGAGTTTGCCGCCTAGAACCGGGAAAAAATCAAGGCAGAAACCCCGATAGGCACAAAAAGGATGGTTTACAGGTTACAGGTTATACCCTAGGGTTTAGTGCTTTCGGGTTTAAGGTTCAGGGTAGGGTGTAGGGTTTAGGGTTGAGGATTTAGGGTTTAGGGCTTAGGGCATAGGATTTAAGGCTTTCGGATTTAGGGTTCAGGGCCCCCCACCCCAGAGCCTGCGTCGAGCTGAATCCACCGGTATCGCTGCGCCTCTCCAAAAGCCAGCGGGCTGCCTGAAAAGCCTGGCCGAAGGAGATTCAGGGTACATATAGGGTTCAGGATCTAAGGTTTGTCGTTTGGGGCGTAGGGCTGAGTACCGAACTTTGGGAGCAGATGATATGGAATGTGTGACTACAAACTGACACGGTGAGAGATTGGGGAGCAGGATAACCACCGACAGCAGGTTTAAGATTTAGGGTTTAGGGCATACCTGCTTGGGGTTTAGGGGTTCGTTCATAGTAGTAAACAATACCCATAGCCCTAGTAACAGTAATAGTACCCATATGATGTACGAATGTAAGAATCATGCTCATCATCATCGGCGTGATCTTGAACCTCATGTTCTCGACTATGCTTTGCAAAAATTGTTAGCTGATGCGATGCGAGGCAGCAAGTGATCTGGTGGCTCTGAACCCTGAACTCTTAATGCCTGGCTGCATGCTGGCTTGCAAGTTGATGCAAATCAAGCAGACTACGGCTGCCCTTAAAATCCCCAAAAATCCTGGGACCTCCAAGCAGACTACGGCTGCCCTTAAAATCCCCCCCCCCCAAAAAAAAACCTCCAGCCCCTTGTCAAGGCCCCAAGCCTTCTGAAGCCGCAAAAAAGCCCATCTTCGAGCCCCAAAAGCCCCCAAGGCCCACCAAATCGTAAAAACCCCTAAACCCTAAACCCTACACCCTAAAACCCTAAAATCCTAAATCCTAAAACCCTAGACCCTAAGGGTCCTAAAGCCCTAAAACCCTAAAACAAGCAAACCCTCAGGGTCCTAAAGCCCCTAAACGCTCTTGAAACACTAAACACCTAAGGATCCACTCTCGCGGGCTCTCACCTCCGTCAGTCGCCCCGCGGAGGTCAGGGCCAGCAGTCCGTAGCCCGTCATCCTCGGAGATCTCCCCGAGCTTGGGACCCTAAGCTCCTCGACTCTTGAACCCTACCTTAACCTACCAGAACCTACGTTTTTGTAGGGTCCCTCTAATTCCCATATTAGGGTTTAGAATAAGAACCTACAGAACAGTAGGGTTGAGTAGGTCTAGGTAAATCCTAAACTCCCAAACTCCTAAAGTCTTAAAGTCCTACAGTCCTAAAGTCCTATTGTCCTAAAACCTGAATCCTAAACCTAAAGGGCCCTAAACCCTGCAGCTGTATCGGCACCTGCTATCACAATAGGCACCAACGAGACGAAAGCACCACCTGACGGATTTTCGGCAGTTGGACACGAAACCCATTTCTCGCCAACCCGCATGAACATCTATGTCTTATCAGGCAAGCCGCTCAATGTCCTTTGCGGCAGATTTGCCTGACCCGCAATTCCGTGGTGGAACCCCGAGTGTTCGGGTTCAGGGCTCAGCGCTTCGTCGAGGGCCTAAGGTTGAGGTCACTAGAGAATTACGGCTCCGGGCTTTAGCCAGCGGCTAAGGGGCTTCGAATAAAACCCTAAACCCTGAACCCTTGACGCTTTGGCTTTGGGATTGCTCTACCACCTGGGGGTCGGGGGCCCTGGGCCCCACTCCTGTCAAAGCACAAAGTTTCTTGTACATACTTCAACCATGTTCTCCTAGAGCCTCTCTCCGGCTATCAACACTCCAAGGGTAAAAGGAGGGACCCTTAATAAGGACCCCTAGGTATATACCCTTATTATAGCTATTATATACCCATTATATAGCCCATTATAGGGACCCAGGGGTCCCGCTTAAGGGTCCCTCCTTTTCCCCTTTGAAACACATCTGCTCATAGGGATGCCTAGGGGGGTAGGGGGGAGGCTTGTAGGGGGATTTAGGGTTTAGGGTTTAGGACTTAGTGAGGCCTATAGCCTTTCTTCGGCTATGAGGGAGTTTCCGAAAATTAGGGGTACCTTATTTTGGGGTCCTTATAATCAGGATCCTACTATTATCAGGGTCCCATGTTCGGATCTCCCATCTTCGGAAACTCCCACGAAGACTTCTACAAGACAAGCAACCCGAAAGCTCGAGCTGGCCCTGGCAGAGTACAGTAAGCCCCAACAGCCCTAAGCCCTGAACTCAAAATGTGCCTTTCCGAAAATATGGGACCCTGATAGTAGTAGGATCCCTATTATAAGGACCCCAAGATAAGGTACCCCTATAGTTTTCCCAAACTCCCAAATACTCAGAGACTCAGAGACCATACCTGAAATCATCTTCAAGAACCCGGTTTAGGGTTTAGGATTTAGGGCTTAGGGTTTGGGGTTTAGGGTTTAGAGTTTAGGGTTTGGGGTTTAGGGTTTAGGGTTCACATTCCATGCTTTCCGGAGCAAGGCTGTTGACTCTGGCACCCTACAGTAAACCCCATAAAGTTGGAAACCGGATTAAGGCCAAATAGTGCTGCGATTCCCTATACATTGCTCTTAAGGGTTGAGGCTATTGGGTTTCCAGCTTTTGGGCTTCTACTGTAAACCGTGTATAAAACACACAAAAAACTGGTGTAGTAGAAGCTTCGTAGTATCCTTATGAAACACTTACAGACGCCTCATAATTGAATCACTGAGATATCGTAACAAACCCCGGAGCCCGGAATCCGAAACCCTTGAAACATCCTTATAACAAGCCCTTCTTGTTTCAAAAAGCTACACAAACTGTAAAATCAACTGTAAAATCAACCTTGAAGCCCTTTTAAACAAAATGCTTAGCAAAAGGAAATTGCTGAGTTCATAAGCCCCAAAAATTGTGTACACTTTAGTCAGTTTTATAGCGGGTAATATTATCCCAACAAGTGTAAAGTGTATCCACTCAGCTATCAAGGAAAGCAAAAGGCACTTTCGCCTTCGCCGGCCGAGGCCCAAAACCTCTTTCCGTCCGCCATGCTGGAGATGTCCAAGACCTGCAGCGGGCCAAAATGCGGCGTTTTGGTTGACTACATGACTACATCGACCCAAAAAACCTACCCTTTTTTTTCTCAGGGATCCTTATGATGATTTGTTTATATAAGTCCTTAGAGAGGTAGGTTTTCTAGTGTCCAGGTAAGGTGAGCGTTGGGGTCAAGAGTTTGGGGGGTTTTGGTTCAACTCTTTAGGGGTGCTGGGTTCAGAGTTCAGGGCCCTAGAGGCTTTAAGGGCTTCGGGCTTTCAAGGTTCTGGGTGTGGGCTTGGGGGTTGAGGTTTTTTTGGGGGGGATCAAGGTTTCGGGTTGAAGACTTTAAGGGGTTTAAGGCTTGGGGTCCCATTCCACCGTCCGGACTGCAATCTTTGTGGTTTCAGTTCTGTCACAACAAGACGCCTCGACAAGATGTGCTCCGAAGGTGGAAAACCATGCCGACAACACTTGCGGGAATTTATAACAACAAACTGCTGCCTAGAACAACTCCAATTTGCAAAAAAACGTCCCTTCAACACTAGCCAAGGCAGTGTAGCAGGACTGGCAAGTAATCATATGTTTACTTGAAATTTGCACATCACGCGAGCTTAAGGTTTATGATTTGGACTGTACTTCAGCAGGACCCAAAGCACGATGCCAAGTACCACGTGCGTCAGACAACGATTCGGGAAAAACAGGAATAACAGGTACGATTGCCGCATTAACAGGAAGGCAAGCAACACGGCTCGCGTACTTCTCGTCGCTAGCAGCAACCGCTTCGCAGACAGCCGCTACACTTTCAACCCTGAAGCCTTGAACATCCGTACACCCGCACACATTGAAACCTGAAGGGCCTAAAGACGTGAAGCCATACCCCCGAAACCCTGCAGCCTAAAAGCCTCCCGCCGTAAGGCCTAAACCCCGGCATATTTGACGTCCACTCCGAGCCTCACTGGCGACTCTGTCCGAAGTCCATTGTCCTGCAAACGACAACCGGCTTATGAATGCGAGGCTGCAATCTGATTTGGCTCCAACCCGGAGTCCTGTGCTCAATCCCTATCAGTATACTGACCATCGGGCCCGCTCTGATAGCTTAAGCCACAGGCAGGACGGACTGTCGGGCTCCTTCCACAGATTCTGTGGAAGGACGGCAGGGAAGGCTAAGTTTAAGAATGGCCAAGACAAGTCGAGTCATTCCGAGTCACTTCCCAAAGTTCGATGGTGCACAAAGAAGACAGCAAGAATGCATCTGCCTGCTCGAAAAAGACTGGCACTCACAGCTGCTATGTGTGGCTGGAAACGCATCCTGGGTCTAACTGCGAAATTTCCAAAGGACGTGCCGTCCGGACAGCTTTGCCTTCGCATGCGACCATGTCTTGCCTCAAGCTCACGAAGCATGAGCATGGATTTTTCAGCAGGGAAAGTTTACTTCGGAGGCTAGGCGCCTGTTTTCAACTCTTTTTCAACCGACATGCAACACCTCTGATGGACTTTTAAGGCAAGTGCGTTGGGGTTTGGCGTTTGCTTGTCTGATGGCGGCCTCTATTGCGCGGGATGATGCGAGGTCCTCGCCACGAACTTCAAGCAGCAATTTCGCGTCAACCTGTTTCGGTTTGGTGAAGTACGCAGAGGGGTCGAGGGCCGCCGTCCTGCACTCCAGCCGGGTGGTGGTGTCTCTCAAAATGGAATCAGTGGCAAGTACTCCCAGCGATGCTCAACCAACATCGGACACGCACTCGTAAACATGTCGCTGAAGGAGTCTCGGAGCATGCCGACGAGAGTTTGGGATTCCCTTCGACGCAGGTGGCACGGCACCCTCGCAGGCGGAACCATGTTCTGACGAATTTGAAAATTGCTTTGAGGTACTGGTGGAAAAATTCCCAATCCGTGACTGTTGCAGTTTGGAGGCCCCTAAAAGCATTTATGAATAGGCACCGCTATAGGAACCAAAGGGACATTGAAAAGTTTCCCAAAGTGCCACCCAGGTGGAGGCTTTCCTCATCTCCAGCATAGTATGGTGAATTGCATGGGCCTCCCAGAGGCATGGCCAGTGGACACGTGCGGGCCAGATTGTGCCACAACACTGCGCGTCATCTCTAAGCTGGATTTATCTCCCATTGACCACAGGAACACTTAATTATGTGCAAAACAGAAGCTAATGAAAAAGCTCGTCAAAATGCGGGAAGCACCGAAACTGCCGACTAAATACCAAATCCGAAACCCGTCAAAGATCTTTCAAAAAGCGGCCCATCCTCTCGAACTCCTATTCCGACTCCTACTTCTACATCTGCTCTGTCTACGACTACTACTACTACTCCTCCTCCTCCTCCTCCTGCTGCTGCTGCTGCTGCTGCTGCTGCTACTACTACTACTACTACTACTACTACTACTACTACTACTACTACTACTACTACTACTACTACAAAAAGCACGTACGGGAGCTGTAGCCACATACATGCTTGCAAGTAAGTAATGACAAGGTTGCACTAACCCGGGCACTTAGAAACCCGAATGGCAACACAACTAACGACAGAAATCGAAAAGACAAGCAGAAAGTGGGACCGACAAGCAAACAAAAAAGGAGCAACCGCGTGACAGCGATTGTAGGGTCAACAAAGGGACCAAACACCACATCCTGACTGAAAGAGGTGTTCAGGTGGCTCCTGCCAATCCCAGCGCTTGCGCGCGAAGCAGGACCTGGACAGCCGGCGGCCGCCAACAAGCGAAGTTGCTTTAAATAGAGTTTCGAAACCCGGATTTGTGATCTTCTAGGGCAAAGTTCATCAAATCGGCTTACAACAATATGCTTTCGGCTGAAGTTTGTGCTTGAGCACTTCCGCCCAGGAGGTGCTCAAGTGCTTCAATGTGTTACCTGGGCTCGAGGCCTGAACTTGACCGCTGCGTTTTCGCTGTTCAACTTCGTTCACGAAAACCGAAGCAACACACTACGACGACGACGCGTATCGCATCGTCTTCAAGGGCGGAAGGGTTTTAGGGTTTGGGGAAAGGGTTTGGGTTGTCTTGTGCAGTGGAAGAGAACCAAAACCAAAAAAAACAAAACCAAAAAAACAAAAAAATCAATTTTCAGACAGTCTTGATCAAGAGTTCGGGATAATGCTACTTACAGAAGACTTTCTGAAAATTGTTTTATTTTTGTTTTTTTGTTTTTTTTGGTTTTGGTTTTTTTGGTTTTTTTGGTTTTGGTTTTTTTTGTTTTTGTGATTTTGGTTCTCTTCCACTGCACAAGAACGCTGAACCTCCTTCATCCTTCGGGCTCACTGAACTGGACTAGAACTTACCTCTATCACACTCATCTCTATAAATTGCTAACACTACTACTAATGACAATAACAATAGTTATACTAGTGTTAAGACTATTTCAAGCATTTTGAGTAATACCACTAACGAAACCGCTCAAATTATCTACTAACTCTAATCAGTATCCGCTGTGTTGATGTTCTGCAAGCCGTAAAACAGCAAAAACGCAGCAGATAGATTTCCGCTTTAAACCGGTATTTCATAAGGAAACCGGAATGTCATAAAATATGGGCATTTTATATGAAGTTGTGGTAAAGTCCTTGTAAGGTATATATGGATGGGGTATTCTGTAAGGTAAATATCTTGCTACTCTTCTTGGTTCTGGATTCTCTTCATAGTAATCCTTTGCCCAATAAGCTAGAATTGAAATGGGGGCTTCTCAGATCTTGGGCTCCATAAGGAAACCGGAATGTCATAAAATATGGGCATTTTATATGAAGTTGTGGTAAAGTCCTTGTAAGGTATATATGGATGGGGTATTCTGTAAGGTAAATATCTTGCTACTCTTCTTGGTTCTGGATTCTCTTCATAGTAATCCTTTGCCCAATAAGCTAGAATTGAAATGGGGGCTTCTCAGATCTTGGGCTCCGAATGGTTTTGCATATTTCAAGTCCCTACTTTCAGTGTACTCTATAGGGTATTCTGGTATTCTGCAGAGGATTATAAGGGGTATCCCAGAAGGTATTCTACAGGCATGCTATATGGCGTGTGTGTATATATATATATAGTAATTATGCAAGGGGTATAGGCGGTCTCATAGATTGTATTCTACAGGGTATTCCAGACGGTGTTCTAGAAGGTATATGTAGGCTACATCGGGGGAATTGTGTAAAGTATTGCATAAGGTAGTCCAAAAGCTATTGTATAGGTTATTCCACAATGTGTTGTAGAAGGTATTCTATAAGGTATGTAAAGGGAGATGTTATCAGGTATTCTGTTCTCTATGTGTATCCCTTAGGCTTCGATTTGTTCACGGATCCTAGATTCCGCTAGCCTAGAAGGTATATCTAGGTGTTGTTCTAAACCGTGTTCTAACAGGTGTTGTCTAGTTTAGAGGGTGTTCAAACAGCTTTATACAAGGTATGTAAGGGGTTATTCTAGAAGGTCGTACCGTATGTTGTATGAACTCCTTTTTAGGTTTTTAGAAAGGGTGTTCTGTAAGGTATTCTACAGGCTATTCTCTTTTGTCCACGGTGCCATGTTTTGCGTGCACTTCCCGCAGGAAGTTTAGGATGCATACACATACGTGTTCCATCCCATGTGCATGTGCTCAAGAGACACCGTGTTAGCATGGAGGACATGGTACATCATCGACCCTTTTGTTTGAAGCCCAAACGCAGCGGTCAAGTTCAGGCTTTGAACCGTTACCTGTTTTCCTCGGTCATAGACTAAGGGCCGAACGACTCGTTGAAACAGTAAACCCAGAGGAGTGGCGAGGTCCTGACCTGGGTTTAAGGTTTAGAGTTTTGAGTTTTGAGTGTTGGGTGTTGAGTTTAGAGTTTAGGGGTTTAGGGTTTGCTCCTTACCTCGTCCCACAATGACCATTCACCGGGTTTCTTAAGTATTCAAGCTCCCTCTGCCGGCATTCAATTCTTGCTCAACAACCTCCTACTCAATTCACCAAAATTGGTCATTGGTTTCCAAAACTTCAAGAAACACTTCTGAGCATGGCCAACGCGTCTAGATCCTGCAGCTTGGCCACGGCATACTGGGATGGACTGGATGCAGAGGAGAGGTACCTGAACACCACAAATCACAAAACGACCAGCATCAAACATATCATGCTGATGACCGGTTTTCTGGTTACTGCTGTCCGGTTCTTGATTAACCTCGCCCTTGCAGCACTCAAGACGTTTCGGGATGGATAGTGCAAATGCTCCAGACGCCACAGATACACCACTTGTCGCCGCCAGAACACGGAGCCATAGACAGTCACTTGACAGTGATAAGTCAATGACAGCAGTGATGATCGCAACAATAACAAACAGTGAGGAGAATAATAACGACAAACTCCTAACAACAAGAATGCTTGCAACAGTGGCGAGCAGAGCTAAGGCAAGCTAATTGCATTGACAGGAACAAGAAAATCTGAGCAGAATGATAATAGTCTCAAAGTACCATGTCAAGTAAAAGCCCTAATGACGGCATTATTAGACTGGCGGCAACAACAAAGAAAACGACAGTAATCCGAAAAGCCTATACCATGCCTTGACACACTAAACCCTTAACCCTATCCCTAAACTCTGAAAAAGGATACAGGACTCCTTAATTACAACACTATAATCCTTATAGTCACATGTGAAAGAACCCTTGGAGGAGCCCTCAAGGGAACCCTTCAAGGAGCCCCTTACCGTAACCCCAATAAATTAAGGAACCCTTAAAACAAAGCCTTGAAGGCAGCCGTTACGGGCGTCCTTTCAGGGATCCATCAAGGGGTCTCTTGAGGGCTCCTCCAGGGGCTGCCTTCAGGGGTTCTGTTGAGCGTTCTGTTTGGCGTTCCTTTAAGAAGGCTTCCTGTGAAGGGTTCCTATAACAAGATTCGTTCTAACGCTCCTCTACCGGCTCCTATAGGGGTTCCTATGCGGGTTACTTGGAGGTTCATGGGTAGTTAGAAGTGGGGCTAAAAGTCTCCTAATATGGGTTATAGCTATAGTTAACCCTACTTGATACCCCACTTGTAGCTACCCATGAAGCTCCACGCAAACCCCTACCTTTTGGCAACCCTTATAGCGACCCTTGCAGTAGCACTTTAAGGTACCGTTTAAGGTACCGTTTTAAGGAATTGCCAAGCAGGGGTTCCGTTCGAGGAGCCCAAGAAGCCGAGCGACGAGGCGGCGGAGGTCAGGGCATCGGCGAGGCCCGGGACGGCGAGGTTCGGTACCTCCACTGAGGCCTTGGTAGGGCTCCTTTCCTGAAAAAACCCGTTTAAGTAAAAGCGAGAAAGTTGGAATCTGATTATCCTAAGCCCTTAATGGTAAATTATAGAGTATCCTACCCTGAAACCATATTCCAACTTTCTGGAGTTCCCTTTAGAGGGATCCTTTACGGTTTCCTTTAAGGGTGGGTTCCTTTAGGGGATCCTTGGGGGATCCTCGGAGGGGGTTTAGTGTTTCGGGATTTTGGGGTATAGGGGTTTTGGGGTTTAAGGATAAATTTGGGGCGTTGCGGGTTTAGGGCCTAGAGTTGGGGGCTAAGTAAGGGTTCTTCTAACGGTTCCTGGTCAGGGTTCATTCGTGGGTTGTGACGGCGCTCCTTTCGAAGTCTTGGGATTTGTGCGTTCTGGGTTTCAAGATGTAGGGCGGATGTTTTCGGGCTGCTTCGCTTTTCGGGAATCTTCCTTAACTGAAGGAGTTTGGCTTTTTCTGCAGAGCTTGGATTCGAGGGTTGAGGGTAAAGGTTTGTGGACTGGCCTCACGGATGTTAGGGCCTACCTGGACCCTAAGGAACCTACCTGTTTAGGGCCCCCTCATATCATTTCTTTATATAGGTCCCCAAAAAGGTAGGGTCCTTAGGGTCCAGGAAAGACTGCAGATCTTAAGGTTTCGGGTTTTTGGGTTTACTTCAAAATTCAAGAGGCGGCGGCTGCAGAAGGAATGGGACCCTTGAACTTCTTGGCTTCAGGATTGCGGTTCAGGATTTAGGGCCAGGAGTAATGGCAGAACTTGCTAAAACGTAGCAAAACCCACTTGCTACGATCTCAGACATCGACAACGCTGAGGGCACGAACACATAATCGATTAACTATAACACTGGCAAAAAACCTTCATAGTCATCGCATTCGACACCTCGTTTTTACCAAGCACCGACACCTTGTTCAACCCCAAAAAAACCCTCAACCTCCACACCCCTTATACAAAATTAGGGGACCCTAATATAGTACCCAAAATAGTAGGATCCTTATTATAAGGACCCCCAAATAAGGTACCCCCTATTTTCGGAAACTCCCATGTAAACCTTGAGCTGCCAACCATCCACCATGAGCCCGCAGCACCACACCCTGAACTCTGATCCCCAACCTTTCAACCCTAAAGCTTAAACCTTAAATACCCTAAACCCTACCACGTAAACCTAAACCGTGAACCCTACACCTTGAACCCTAGAACCTGCACCTGAAACCTTAAACTTTAAATCCTAAACCCTAAACTTAGGCCCTGAACCCCAAGTATCTATCCCCTTATGTGATGGGAGGGCAAAAGGGGGGTTTAAGATTCTTGAGGTAGAGACTCCTTCATATGAATCCCATTATGGAAGCCCTAATCCCTACTAAACCCCCAAAGGCTAAAACCCCTTTTGGCCTCCTAAAAAATGAGGAACCACAAAAATAGTGTTGGCAATTAGTTGGGCCCCGCCCCTATATTATAGTACATACGAGCCTTCTAAAGGAACCCGTTTAAAGGAACCCTAACCCTAAACCCTAAACCCTAAACCAAAACTCTAAACCCTAAACCCTTATGAGGAGCCTTCTAAAGGAACCCGTTTAAAGGAACCCTAACCCTAAACCCTAAACCCTAAACCAAAACTCTAAACCCTAAACCCTTATGAGGAGCCTTCTAAAGGAACCCGTTTAAAGGAACCCTAACCCTAAACCCTAAACCCTAAACCAAAACTCTAAACCCTAAACCCTTATGAGGAGCACAATAAACCAAAACTCTGAACCCTAAACCCTTATGAGGAGCACCCTAAACCAAAACTCTAAACCCTAAACCCTTATGAGGAGCCTTCTAAAGGAACCCGTTTAAAGGAACCCTAACCCTAAACCCTAAACCCTAAACCCTAAACCAAAACTCTAAACCCTAAACCCTTATGAGGAGCCTTCTAAAGGAACCCGTTTAAAGGAACCCTAACCCTAAACCCTAAACCCTAAACCAAAACTCTAAACCCTAAACCCTTATGAGGAGCCTTCTAAAGGAACCCGTTTAAAGGAACCCTAACCCTAAACCCTGTACCCTAAACCAAAACTCTAAACCCTAAACCCTTAATAGGGGTTCATAAGTTATGAGGAGCACCCTAAACCAAAACTCTAAACCCTAAACCCTTATAAAGAGCCTTTTGAAGGAACCCTAAAAGCCCCAAGGGCCCTGGCCCTGGAGAGAGCAGAGGCGACGAAGGCCGTCAAAGCAAGGACTGGGCTCCCACTGGTGCCTCCCATCATCTCCTTCGCTGCAGGGTTTAGGCTTTAGGGTTAAAGGTTTAGGGTTTAGGGTTCGGGTTTAGGGGTTTTAGGGTTTTAGGGTTTTGGGTTTTGGTGTTTTAGGTCTTAGGACTAGGGGTTTTAGAGTTTGAGGTGGTGTAGGGGTTTGTATGTTTATCGGGCTCTTCACCAGTTTTGAAAGGGTTCTTCTAGAGCCTTTCTGGTGCCACTACTTGGCGGGTCGGGGACTTAGTAAGTAGGTAGTAAGTAGACTTATAAGTACCCAAAAAGGGACCCTAATTGGGGTTATGGTACTTATAAGTCCCTAAAATAACAAGTTTACTAGGTCCCCTGACCCTCCAAGTAGGGTTCGGAGCAAGGCTCGGGTTTCTTGGCTGAGGTGTTTTTTGGGCTTTATTACGTAGTGTTATTAGGGAGACCCCTTAAAGGGCACCCCTTCTGAACCCTACTTCTGGCTCTCTTAAAAGGGGCCTTATTGAGAGGGTCTATACCCCCAAGGGTCCCCATAATCCTAACTCTGATTTATTGCTAAGCAAGGTTTAAGGTCGGGCTTCAAAACAATACGGTTGATGAGATAAAGCCTGCATGACCCATACTAAGGGATACACCATAATTCCCAGAGTTTAGGGTCCTTAGGGTAATGCAGGATTTATATCATCAACGGTAGTTTATTTGAGGCTGAGGATTCGGGGCTTATAAAGTTCGGATGCCCTAAACCAGACACAAGTTTGAGGCACTTACCCTTAGAAACAGGAACCCCGCGGAATGAGATTAGTACATATTCCGGCTTCTACATTAAACAGACTCCCTGGGTTGGCCTTTAAACACCCTGCGAAATATTTACATATAGGGTCCCTTATAAACCCAAATAAGGAAAATAAAAATCTTCCAAAATCCAACCTAGCTCCTGGTGGATGACTTTGCCCACGCTGCGGAAGGAGCCATCGGCCTGTGCACTGGGTTTAGGGTTTAGGGAGTGCGCACTCCTTTTAACCGGCAGAGTTTACAGTAAACCCCATAAAGTTGGAAACCGGATTAAGGCCAAATAGTGCTCGGATTCCCTATACATTACTCTTAAGGATTGAGGCTATGAGATTTCCAACTTCTTGGCTTCCACTGTAGCATTGACAGGAAATGGCCGGAAGATCTTGAATCTTCATATATACTCACAAATTTTAGTCATATTCACCGTGTACCATATGCATGTGTGTACATGTATCTCACAAATATGCATGTGTGTGCATATGTATACACATGCATACATATTTACATGTACACCTATGTTTTATACGTTCACTTCTACTTCAATTTCCACTTCTACTTCTACTAAACACTTCCACTTATACTTATACATATACTTACACTTGAATACAGACAAACATGCATGCACACATACACAAACAGAAGCAGACCTCCCAGTCCGAAGGCCGAACTCACCAGGCAGCCTGCTGCAAGTTGACGAGGAAGGCTGCAGCCTTTGCAAGGACGCCTTGTGGAGCATTTCGGGTGTCGGGCAAAAGGGTAAAGAGCCCAGGTATCTCCACAACCTTACTTGGGCTAGCCTTTATGGTTGTTTGGTTCAGGTCTGGGGTTCAAGGGTAAATGGAAATTGGCAGATTTCAGGGTTTAAAGTGTTCGGGTTATGAGGTTAAGGGATTTTGGGCTCGGGTCTTTTCTTAATGTTTGAAGGTGCATGGGTTCAGGGTCTACTGACAGCTTCATGGGTAGCTGTAGGTCTGGGAACAAGTTGCTTACTTGGGGCTGTAGCCGCGCATATATCTGTGCTGAGGGAGGGTGTAGGTGCGTACCAGCAAGTATTCATAACAGAGTAAGTAGTACACACGTGAAGTCGAATAGATAAACAAACGAATGAATCCTTAAACAGATAAACGCGTATGTGTCCAAGCCGATGCGCACGTACACATACTTATGTAAACGTATAGTATATACATACATGCATACCTGCATGCATGCATGTATCTGTGCATATCTATACCTATAACTATATCTATATCCGTATATATATATGTGTACGTAGGGATAGCTACCATAACTCTACTTGCAGCCATCCACGAACCCAAAGACTGCCGACTGAGTTGCTGGTGTCCACAGCCACGAGGCCAGTCCCGTGCACCTGTGGAGGGCGGGCTCAAGGTTTTTGTTGTAGGGGTTGTAGGGTTTAGAGTTTAGGCTTGTGGGTAAGGGTCTTGTAGAGTGCTTTCAAGGTTTAATCGGCTTAGCTGTTGTATGAACCCTTTATGGGTTACAAGGGTTTTGAGGAGTGGATGAAAAAAAGCTACTGGGATCCCCCAGAACAAGGTCCAATATGTCTCGTTTAAGGAATATGGCGACAACACACGGAGAAGCCATAAAAAGGGTGGTTCTCTCAATAAGGGCCCCTTTTAGGGTCCTTTTTATGCGGGTGTCGCCTTGTTTTGGGTTGCTACAAAGGAACCCTAGTTTAGAGAACCACCCATATGATTTCCAGAGTAGTCCTCAGTTGACGATCGTCCTGCTCTCTGGAGCCGAAGGCCTGCTTTACCGGTGAGAACTCAGGGTCCAGGGTCTATGGTTTAGGATTTAGGGTGTGGGGTTTAGGGTGTAGGGTCCGTTTAGGTTTTGGGTTAAGCTTCGGCTTGTGAAACCATGTGCTTGGCATGGCGTCCACCGCAGCCTCCGCAAAGACGCGCAAGACGAAGGCCGTAAGCCAAGTGGAGCCAGAATCGTCAGACCTATCATCGGTTGCAAGACTAGGTAAGTAAAGAAGTGCAGCTACAAGGCGTGCAAGGTAGGATTTTCGCTCGGATTTTCCGACTTTAACAATAAAACTAGCTTCAATCGCTGCCGGTTTCCCTCTCTGTATACTTTTAACCTGCTTACGAAATCCCCTATTCCTTCAGTTTGGATTCAAGTTGCAGGGCGCGTGTTGGATTCAGGGTTCCTGATGACCTTAGCGATGACGAGAAACAGCTCGATGGCTTCGGGTTTAAACCCTAAACCCTAAACCGTTTGGGTATTGCTGCCTGGTCCGGAACCCCGAACCCTACACTCTCAAAGTCGTCAAAGCCCCAGAGCCCATGCTTAAGCCCAAAAATCGAACCAAAATCCGGAAACACCGGTGGGATCTGGTGGGCGGTTGGTCTTGGGAAACCTTTACTTACGGTGTGGGGTTCAGGGGTGAGTGGACCCTACCTACACCGACAACCCCAGACACACAAGCCTCCCCCCCGGCCCCAAAGAAAAAACAACCTAAGCAGCCGGCTTTCCAAAAGCCGAGAAGGAGCCATCGTCATGGCGGTACGTCAACTGACGCCCATAGCCTGCTGGGTTTCGAGTTCAGGCTCAGGTTTCTTGACATGAAAGGCTCCTGTTACCTGCTGCATGCAGAACTCTCTGAACCACAGCTCCTGAAATGAATATGTTAATGAAAAAGACCCTGAACGCAATCTGAATTTTATGAAGCCTGCCATCCTCTCACACAAAATTGACGGGCTCTCTTGGACCCCGAAGCCGCCCCAAAATGCTACAAGCTGATGGGGTTATATGGGGTTCTGATGTAGACCCCAGAAGAACAGACTGGACTCAACATCCGGATCCTTATCGCACCTGATTTGGGCGGGGGTTGTTGATTCTTCAAGCATCTAGATCATGCTACACGCCATACCAGACTCAAGGCGCCTACCACCATGTTGTTCACCACTCGCTGGCGCAACTCTGGCGTCCTGAGTGACAGATGGGCAAACATTGCAGTGTACTGCAGTGTGCCTTTCACCTTAAATCCTAAATCCACGGTTTCGGTTTCGCTCCTTGCTTTAAGGCTTTAGGATTGGGCCAAAGACTCCCATACCCAATTCCACATCATCTTGCAGTTTGAAAACCACCTCTACTTGGAGGTTCATGGGTGGCTATGAGTGTGGTATTAAGAAAGGGCCCTATAGTTCTAACCATATTCGGGGACTTACAACTCCATGTAAAACTGCCCATGAGCCTCCGAGCACCCTGCAACCCCCTAAACACAAGAAATTCCGAAACCAGATGCCACTTGGCCCTTCAATCCTAAACTCTACACTGTACACCTCATCCCTCGGCCTGCCTGAATGCGAACTCTTGAAAGCTAAACCGGGAAACACCTACACCTCTAACCCCACCTGAAACTCTTAACCCTTCAAACCCTCAACCTGCGAAACCCATGTAGCTCACCCCAAAATCTTAATAGCATCATCACGCGGCAGCTTCGATGTGGCCAGAAGGTACTTCGCCACGTAGACGTTTGGTGCCAGAGTGATCATGTTCTGCTCACCACAGCCTGGTTTGAAGCCTAGGGTTTTGCAGTCTGCAGGGATTGGCATAGCCCCCAAAGCCCCCAAACAACCACACCTGAAACCCTAAACTACAGGTTTGACGGGACAGCTTAGATCTGTAATGTCTCCATCAAGCTACCGAAAAACAGCTTAACCTCCACACCCTGAAGCTCTTCACCCTCTGGACTGCGACAAGACCTTGAACTTGAAACACCTAGATCAAAAGGTCCTGAAGCCTTGAGCTCAAACCCGGACCTGTGAAACTCTTCACGCCCAAAGGCCCAAAGCCCCAACCCACCAACAACGAACCGTGGCCCCCTGGTATCCCCTGCAGGCCCCAACTCATAAACACCAGGAAACAATTAAAAAATCCTACAGCTGCCTTCTAGACCCTAAACCCTAAACCCTAAACCCAAAACCCAAACCCTGAACCCTAAACCCTAAACCCCTAAACCCCTAAACCCTAAACCCTAAACCCCTAAACCCCTAAACCCTAAACCCTGAACCCCTAAACCCCTAAACCCTAAACCCTAAACCCCTAAACCCTAACCCTAAACCCCTAAACCCCTAAACCCCTAAACCCTAAACAAAAAACCCCTAAACCCTCGACCCGAAACCCTAAACCGGGCCTGTCGGAATCTGCAGCAGTCGCTCCAAGCCCGAGATGGTGGGACCCAAGAGATCACCGACAGCCGTGACCTGGGAGTTTCCGAAAATTAGGGGTCCCTTGGGGGCTCCACAAAAAGGACACGTTTAGTGTTCCTTTAAAGGGCTCTTTCAGGGTATAGAGTTTCCGAAGATTCGGGGTATCTGATTCGGGGTCCTCATGGTCAGGATCCTAGGGATTAGGGATTGCCCTGAACCGAAAGCGCCCTGAACCCTAAACCTTCCTGAAACCCCAAACCCGCCAAGCTTGCCTGCAGGCGGGCAGAGTCGTTCACAGCCGCTGCAGGCAGTGTGAGCTCTAGGAGTGCATCCGCTGTGGAGGAGCCTCGTTTGGTTTAAGGCTTGGGATGCTGGGGTTTACAGGTTCGTTTAGGGTTTGAGGCTTAGGCTTTAGGGTTTAGGGCTTTAGGGGTTTAGGGTTTAGGGTTTAGGGCTTAGATCAAGATGAGCTTTTAGATTTAAAAGTGAGGTCGGGGTTCCTGGTTTCGGGCGTCGGTTTCGGGGTTCAGGGTTTTGGTTTCGGGATCGGGAGTGAGAGTTACAATCCTCACCCCAAATCCTAAACGCTTGTGGAACCCTTCCGGATCCCTCGCAATTCGGTTGATGATATAATATATAAACCCTGCAATTACCTTAAGGACCCTACACTATGGTAATTATGGTATATTCCTCCTTGTTATGGGTAATGCTGGATTTATATCATCAACCGTTCCTCTGGAAGGAAGCCCTTTTAGTTCTTGGGTTTCTGGTTCCAAGGTAAGGATCAATGATCAAAGCTTGGGGTGAGAGCGTTCTTTCATAAGCATGCCGTACCATATGGAAGTTTCCGAAAGTAGGGGACCCTGAGATGGTACCTCAACTAGTAGGATCCTTATTATAAGGACCCCAAAACAAGGTACCCCTATTTTTCGGAAATTCCCATATTGGGGATCTTAAAGGGACCTAACTTAGAGAACTACCCGAGCAGAGGGGCGATCTGTAGGGCCCCAAGAAAGCACATAAGCAAAAATAAGGATAGGGATATCCCATATAAACCCCCTCATACTGAAGCACAATAGGTAGGGATATATCCCTATAAGATGCTTATGCTTATGTGCTTTTTGGGTCCCTGAATCTGAGCTACAGGGCTTGGGGCGGCCAGCCGGTCGGCAGGGGTGCCCTTCTCGGCTTGAAGATTTAGTTTCGGGGGTTCCTTTCAGGGTTCCTTTAAGGGGCTCTATAAGGGTTAGCTATAAGGGTAGTATAGGGGCTTAGGGGTTTCAGGTTTTGGGGATTGGGGTTTAGGGTTCAGGAGTGTGAGGGATTTGGGAGTCTCCGAAACTTAGGGGTACCTTACTTGGGGGTCCTTATAATCAGGACCCTACTAGTTAAGGTATCAAATCACGGTCCCCTATTTTCGGAAACCCCCATTTAGAGCCTCGGATTTAACTTACGGTTTTGGCTTTCAGGTTTGCTGACGATGTTGAGGGGCCAAAACCAAGCTAAGAGCTTGGATGAGCTTGGCACAAAGCCAAGCCTTCACGACCCAGCTGAACGTCAAGACGAAATCGAGAGTTCGACGATGAACCAAGCTGCCCTGATATCCGACATCCTGATTGGGCTCATCTCCCCCAAACCTGGAACCCTGAACTCTAAAACCCACCCTGATTCCCAAGAAGCAAAAACTTAAATCCTAGAACCCTAAACGCTGAACCCTAAACCCTAAAACCCTAAACTCCAAAAGCCCTAAATCACTCCATAAAAGCCAGGCATCTTGTGAGGTCGATGACGACACTCTTGGTCTCGTGCTGGGGGACGCCCTCCCGGTCCGACGGTATGGGTTTAGGGTTTAGGGATTAGGGTTTAGGGTTTAGGGTTTAGGGTTTAGGGTTTTTCGCGTTGTCTGGTATAGGGTTTAGGGTTTGTAGTCCCTACCCAAGTAAACCGCGCTACAGCATACCATTGCTTAGCCAGCTGTATTGGAATAACTCGTACAGATCTCCCCATGTAGTTCTTACACTACCATACCACCCCTACCTAACTATACTACACTGCAGCATAACATTACGTAACTAGGACCCTAAATCCTGAACCCGCAACCCTAAGACCCGAAGTATAGGGGCCTAAATAATACCAGTGCTAATTATTTTGGGGTCGTTATTTTAACTACAGCATAGTGGGCGCCAAAACCCTCTTCTAATTCTTCTTATTATTACTATTAGGGCCCCTATATTACATTAGGCCCGATCTGTGACTCCTCCGGCTTCACAAGCAGCGGTTTCCGCATGGCGTCGCTGTAGGCGCCGCTGACAGCAGAGGCCTCGCTTGGGGACTCGGGATTGTACATCATATGCTACTATACTATAGTACAGTAACATGAACTATATGCATTTGCTCTACAATATTGTAGAACTAGATATTACGATTGCCTTTGGGTGAATTTGTATCCAAAGTCCTGGGTTTAGGACTTCCGACTACGGTTTGGGGTTCGTTGGGGCTCAAGGAAAGTCTTGCCCTTTGCACATCCCTCGCCTCACACCCTCCACCCGCATCATTTGGCAGAGTGTTAAGAAAGCCTACCCGCAGTTGAACGGACCCAATGATACCTGCAGAGCCTGCGATAACAAAACACTACACACGAAACTCAAAACAAGTTACTTCCAAACCTCCTATCCTGAATCATTGAACTGCCAACACCAGAACCCACGAAACCCTCACAGAAAAAGCCTCACAAGGCCGCAGGTTGAAGGGTCCGTCAAACTCGCCCAAAAGTTCAAGCCCCGAAACCCTAAAATCCCCACCAAAAGTCGCAACACACAAAAAAACAAGTCTAAGGACCCTGAAGACCTGTTTCAATCCTAAACCCTAGAACCCCGCCAAACAGTGAATTAAAGCAGAACCAAATTTTGGGTTGAGCCAGCCAATGTTTATCAAACCCTGTGAAACAAGCCTAGGGAAAGCAAGAAGACTATATAAATCTTGTAAAAACCTATTAGATGATTTAAAAAACCCTGAACTCTACCGGCCTCTAGCTGGAAGGAGCCCAGGGCCTGCGATTCGGAGCTTCCCGGGTTTACGATTTAGGGCTCGGGTTACGGGCTTCAGGTTTGAGGATTTATGGAGTTTAAGACCTCGGGCTGAGGGCTTGGGTTTAAGGTTTAAGGTTTAGGTCGGTTTTGGATTTGAAGTTACCGGTTTTTTTGGGGAGGCTCTGTGCGTGCGCTTTGGCGCCAACTCGAAAACGATTTCCTCAACTTTCTTTGTACTCAGACATGTTTCCAGTGTGGTCCTGTTAGTGTGGTTCCAGCAATCTGGGAAGTTCAGCTTGGTGTGAATTTCTATCCAATATGGAAACTGCATACCTCTTCTTCTACCTTGATCTAATATTCTATCCTTGAGGGCACCTGTGGAGACTACGGAGTGCATGGGGTCGTTTGGAGGGCTTTGGGAGACGAGGGCTTTCCAGGAGAGTTGGTTTTGGTGTATGCCTCTGTGTTGGGAGCCCTTGAATAAAAAGAAGCCTTAATTTTTCCAACCCTGCTGAGGAAGCGAAACCAGAAGCCGTCGATTCTCTTGACGTTTTTTTGGGGTCAGGGTGACCGCATGTAAGCCATATATCAGTACGGCAACACATGTGGGCGGAACATGCTTAGCTTAGTCTTCACTGGGAGGCGGGAATTGAATCAATTACTTAAAAACCCCCATTCGTCTAGAGCCTAACCCTACACTGATCAACAACGGCATCTGGCCTTTGGCCGCAACCGGAGCGCGTGACCTTTGAAACGGGCTCTGCTTCAATGGCAAAGCCAAACTTCACTCGTGGCACATCGAGAAACCCTATGGAGTTTGGAATCTGGGCTTGAAGCACACACATCAGAGCCTTACTGAAATTTACTGACAGCCTAGCACGCACACACACACACACACCATGATCACACTGTGTGTGTGTGTCACCAGCAGCCGGAAATCAGGTTCCCTCCATAGTTTTGGTATCTGCTAGGACTTACTGAAAGCTTTGGGCTTAAAGCCCAGGGATTCAGGTTTCGGAGTCTTGGGGGTTTAGGGTGCGCAGGATATTCGAACATTCACAACCGAGATGATTACCGGGATCAATTCCGGGGAGACGATAACCAGGAAGGACTCGGTATATCAACCCGAATCCCCCCCAAACCCTACGCCCGCCTGCCAAACCCTACCCTAAACTTTAGACCCCAAACCCTACACCCTGAACATTCAACCCTAAACCCTACACCCCTCAGCCCTAAACCCTAAACCCTAAGCCCCTAAACCCTACACCCTGTACCCTCAACCCTTTTCCCTAAAGACTAAACCCGGCGGAGGGTTTTTTGTTTAGAAGGTTTGGCCAAACCGTGTTTTGTAGAAGCTTTGGCCGAAGGGTCCGTTCAGTTAGATGGGAAATCCCATATGTCGGGCCTTCCTCTGCAGCAAGCTATTGGGGAAACTCCATTTGTGGGGTTTTCTTCTGCAGCAAGTTATTGGCGAAATGCTAGTTTTGGACCTTCTTTTGATCCAAACTACTGGGGAGGTAACATGTGCCGGGCTATTTCTGCATCGAAGCCCGTCGGGAATTCCGAGTTGCAAGCCTTTGTCTTACCCGAAGCTATTCGGGGATGTCGATTGCGAAGTCCTGTATTTTCTCTTTATTTGAATAGGAAGAGCACCATGTTCCCTCTAATTGAAATTAGCATAAACTACTAAGCGACTTGGGGTTGGGGAGAGATGGTCCACATGGGTAAGCTGAACCCTGAAGCGATCCTGCACAGCTTAAAAATATCGCGGGGAGGTTGGCGGGGACGCAGCCCCTCATTTGCAAACAGACTGCCTGTATGATGACTTTTAAAAAAAACGCCATAACAACTACGTGCTTGACGCAAGTCTTGTTGATGGTGCGGTTTTTTTGAAAACCAGCCTGCATGGCGTTAAAACAGGCATGCTGACTTAAAAAAACGCCATAACAACTACGTGTTTGACGCAAGTCTTGTTGATGGTGCGATTTTCTTGAAAGCCAGCCTGCATGGCGCAAAATAGCGGGGGGTTGGGGGGGCGCTCGAGGTTGTGGCTCCAGTGGCACGGGCCCGCAACTTCCTCGATGCGTTCCGGGGCCGGCCGGTTGCTGCGGATCTCCTCCTGAAGGAACACGGGATCCTGGCAACAAGGCGGAGCAGCTACAAGGGACGTCTGACTTGTAACTATATTAGCAGCCCCGGCAGTGCTCCCATCTGCCCGGCCGTAAATTCAAGCAGCAGTGTCCTGGCAGCGGTGTTGCACGGTCAGGCGGAAGGCACGCTCCCACTGCAGGCTTGAGGCACGCCTGGCATCTCTGGATCTTGCACCGGCGGTGGCAATTGCTGGAAGTCCCCTTCAGCGAGCAAGGTCGGGCTGCAATCGCAAGCCTTCCACACGTAGTACAGCTGTTCCCACTGCCTCCGGGTGACCGAGGACCCAGATAACGTGCTGGCCAGCAAAGTTGGCCATCGAGCTCACGTTCTCCATGGCCGACAGCCGCTGGAGCGTGATGGACGTCACTCCCTCTTTATTCACTAAGCGGCATGCCAGCTTCCCCGTCGTGCACAGCAAGAGGACGTTCCAGTGCTCTCCTCCACCAAGTGATCCACCACCACCGTTTTGCCTGTGCCCGGGCCACCGGTCAAACAAAAATGGCGTGCTGCGGGGTTCCAGAGGATCTTGCCTTTGCTCCGTGTATTGCAGCACTACCTCCAGCACCGGCTGCTGTTCTCTGTTGAGTCTGGGCAAATCCGTGTTTTCTGTGGAAGCTGTCGGGGCCACCTCCCGAGAAGCTGCTGCTGGATGACATGACGCTCTGCTCGCAACTGCGCCAGCCTGGTCGCAATAAAATCGGCCCGATGCTCATTTCGAGCCAGGTGCCCTTCGATCCAGGGGTCGTTCGCCCAGCACTCAAGCATGAGCAGCACCGCCGCTGCATGGTGCTTCCTGGATTTCTCCACCTGCAATGCCTGAATAGGCAGAGGCTCACTGCCGGAGCGGTGGATTTTGTGAAGCAACAGCCACTGATAAAAAGAAAACGTCTTGTGTTTCCCGGGCATACATGACGGCTATGGCATGTTGCTGCCGGTATTTCTTCACCCAGCACCTGGCATCATCGAAACAAGGCTACCTGCTCGAACGGTCGTTGAATGCCGATGCTGAATCCTTGCTGGCCTAGACTATATTGAATTAAGTTGCTTCCCGTCCTTCGCCATTTTGCTGCTTTTGCTGCGGTTTCCCGGCGGGTTCCCGGCCGGTCCGCCCATGTAAAGCCAAAATCGATTAAATTTAACCGACCCGCCCACCGATTAAATTTCACAGCCCCCCCGGCTAAAGCCGAAATGGATTAAATTTAACGGCCCCCGCCCGGTTAAAGCCGAAGCCCGTTAAATCTAACCGCCCCGGCCCGTTGAGAGGCCGAAATCCGTCAAAGCCAAAATCGATTTAATTTGACGGCCCCGCCCGGTTAAAGGCGAAATCGACTATATTTCACGGCCCACCAAGTTTAAAGCCGAAGCCCGCTAAATTTAACCGCCGCGCCCGCTTCAAGGCCAAACCCGTTAAATTTAACCGCCCTGCGCGGTTAAAGCCGGAGTGGTTGAAATTTAATGGCCCCGCCGGCTTAAAGCCGAAACCCGTTAAATTTAACCGCCCCGCCCGCCTAAAGGCCCAAATCCGTTAAAGCCAAAATCGATTAAATTGGACGGCCCCGCCCGATTAAAGCCAAAGCCCGTTAAATTTAACCGCCCCGCCCGTTTAAAGGCCAAACGCCTTGAATTCAACCGCCCTGTGCGGTTAAAGCCGACATTGCTGAAATTTAACGGCCCGCCCGGTTACAGCCGAAGCCCGTTAAATTTAACCGCCCCGGAAATTGACGCCCCCGCCCGGTTGAAGCCGAAATCGACTAAACTTCACGGCCCCACCCAGTTTAACGCCGAAGCCCGTTAAATTTGACCGCCGCGCCCGTTTAGGCCAAACCCGTTAAATTCTCCCGCCCTGCGCGGCTTAGCCGAAAGCGATTAAATTTAACGGCCCCGCCCGGTTAAAGCCGAAGCCCGTTAAATTTTAACCGCGCCGCCGAAATCTGCCGAATATTATTGGCCCCACCCGTCCAAAGCCGGAACTCGCTAAATTTAACGGCCTTGACAAACTTTAATCGCCCTGCCGGCGCAGTTCAACATCCGTCCAGCCACCCCGCCCGGTGCGAACCCGCGCTGAAGACCAAATTCAAATAGACGATGCTTAGCCACCTCAGAGCCAAAGCTGACAAGACCCTGAGGTAGAACTTCCTGAAGCAGCATTTTAGTCCTTGCCGCCGAGCCGGCGTAGTAGCTTCGGTCTACATGCCTGACGTCGATGCGCACTGGGCGCACGCGCCCACAAGCCAGCCATGAATCGGAGCATAGAAAGGGCTGGGCAGGGTGGGTATACACCACAAACAAAACATCATCAAACAAACCTTCTATCCAAGGGTAAAAGGAGGGACCCTTAGTAAGGACCCCTAGGTATATACCCTTAATATAGATATTATATACCCATCATATAGCCCATTATAGGGTAGGGGTCCCCATTAAGGGTCCCTCCTTTTCCCCTTTGAAACCTTCTACAAGGCAGTTTAACCCTAAGCTCCAAAAACCCAAAGCCCTCCGAATCTCGCCGCGAGGCGTGCAGCGCCTGCCTCTGGGACCGAGAGCTGCAACGATGCCTGAACCAAAAGTTTAGGGTGGGGTTTAGGGTTTAGGGCTTAGGGGTGTAGGGTTTAGGGTATAGGTTAGAACGGGAAGATACTGCCCCCTTACAGTAACAGTCTATAATGAGGCTACGATCAAGGTCCAATTTTTTTTGTTATGAATAGTATTCAACTATTACTGAGTGGGGGCCGTACCCAAGGTGTAGGGGTTTAGGGTTTAAGGTTTGTTTAGGGTTTCAGGGCTTAGGGTGTACGGGTTTAGGGTTTAAGGTTTGGGGGCTTAGGGTTTAAGGGTTTAGGACTACACTCCCCGCACAACGCAATCCCAACGATCATAACCCGCTGGTAACAGCCGTTATGAAACACCAGGAGCCTCATGGGATGTAGCATCTTACGGCTGATGATACAAATCCTGCATTACCTTGAGGACATTAAACTATGGGAATTATGGTATACTCCTTAATTATTATGGGTAATGCAGGATTTATATCATCAACCGTAGTTAAGTGGGATTCTGCATTTTTCGGATTTGCTACCTGAGATGAGCCTTCAAGCATGACTTAACTTCCTTAAACCAATTCCCTAAACCCTCTTCTCATAGCAGCCCTGCTGTAGCCCCTCAACCCGAACCGAGCCCTAAGCTCCGAAACCAAAACCCCCAAGCGCGAGCCCTGAAGAAACCCTGCTTGAATCATGTTTTCAGGACGGGTTTCGGCCTCTCCATTGACCAGCTCCACTTCAGCCGGGAGCGTCACCTGCTCAGGGCGTAGGTTCGGGTTTGGGTTTTCGAGGTTTCTCTGCTGCTCGAGCCTAGGAGCATAGAGGCCTTAGGGTGTATGAGTCTGTCGATTGTTGCTGGCCCTCGACACCTGAAGCAGGGCTTTTGTGAAGATGAATTACAGGACAGGAGATGGGAACGCAGGCAGCACAGATGTGTGGTTTCAGCTGTTTCCCATGTAAACCATCGAGCCAGTTCATGCTACTTCTTCATGGTCTGGGTTTACCGAACACATTTTGTTCGTGCTAGTTACTGCTAGTTGTACTTGCTTCTGGCATGACATCTGAACTGCAAATGATTCATGTGTGGACTGCCCGCATTCTTCGGTTCATGGTCCTCCTCCTGATGTCATCTGATATACTTGAAACCGTGCGTGTCAGATTGTTGACGCTCAAACTCGCGTTGGTTAGGTCTCTGGATTCCCAAGCTTGACACAAACACTGGCCTTTGGCATTGCGGTGTGATTTTTGTCACATCCCGCGACCCTAAACTCCAAAACCCAACAATGGCAAAACCGAAAGCTCCTGCACAATTTTCCAGCGGTTAGCTCAAGAGACACTGAATATCCTAAGTGCAAGGATGCGGGGTCTTTTTGTGTTCACTGCTTTCGAGCTGTAGCTTTGGCCTTGACGGTGTTATTCCACAAACCGGGTTTAGAGCTTCGCGTCTCGGGTTCAGGCTTGAGGGTTTAATATAGGGGCCTTAAAAATTAGAATGGGGTTTTGTGGGACATAATACTATACATATAATAAGGAGCCTCCAAAATACATATAGGTAATTTGACGCTCCTATATTAATCCGAGGGTCTGAATAAAAAAAAAAAAAAAAAGGTCTCACATTTAAAGAAATATTTTCGGTTCCGCAGTGGTTCCGAAGAGGCGTTTCCATTACGTGAGGATCCGGGTGGATTTCGCTTGGGGAGAATACCCCACATTTAAAAAAAAATGGGCCCCAAATGTTTGTAGGGTGCAAAGCTCTGCAGTGGCTCTTCATTTCTGCCATTGCTTGCTTGCTTCTTTAATACACAAGCAAAGCTTCTGTGGGAACCGGCCCTTTGCCTTTGAGCAGATGCTGCCCTCCGAGGCCAAGCTTTTTCCAAACGTTCACGGATCTCAGAAAGCTAGCTTTCCTTATTGATTCGCTTATCCGGGGAAGCAATTTTTCATTCTCTCCTGAGCTACCCCTTACGGGGCCTGCCCGGAAAAACATCGACTCACATTTAGAAAAGGGGTCACATTTGTATGAAGCCGGCCGGTCCCGGCCCAGCTGTGCCTGCAGTCTTTGCTATTGCTTGCTTGCTTCTTTAATACACAAGCAGAGCTTCTGTGGGAACCGGCCCTTTGCCTTTGAGCAGAGGCTGCCCTCCGATGCCAAGCTTTTTCCAAAAGTTCGGGGATCTCAGAAAGCTGGCTTTCCTTATTGATTCGCTTATCCGGGGAAGCAACTTTTCATTCTCTCCTGAGCTACCCCTTACGGGGCCTGCCCGGAAAAACATCGACTCACATTTATAAAAGGGGTCACATTTGTAGGAAGCTTTGTGAATGGCTTTCTAATAGAGATTCAATACATAGCTGTGGTTTTTAATAAAGCCCAAAGAGCCCCAGTGAAGGTTTTCTCCATGCATCCAGCCTTTTTGAATGGCTTTCTAATAGAGATTCGATACATTGCTATGGTTGTTAATAGAGCCCAAAGAGCCCCAGTGGAGGTTTTCTCCATGCATCCAGCCTTTTTGAACGGCTTTCTAATAGAGATTCAATACATTGCTATGGTTCTTAATAGAGCCCAAAGAGCCCCAGTGGAGGTTTTCTCCATGCATCCAGCCTTTTTGAATGGCTTTCTAATAGAGATTCAATACATTGCTATGGGTTTTAATAGAGCCCAAAGAGCCCCAGCAACCCAGGGATGATTTTCCATTAATGCGGGTCCCGCAAATTTAATTATGTTACTTTTTGGCCGGGGGTGGGGCCTACTAATAAGACCCTCGGATTAAGGCTTCGGAAATATCTAGACTGTGCCTGTAGCTGCGCATCCAGAGTGCCAGTGCCCTCGGCATAGTTGAACACCGCAATGATGAGCTCCACATCCTCGCCTGCTGAATGTTTGTTTGGCGTTCGGGTCCCGCTTCGGGTTTGGGGTTCACGTTCAAAGCTCAATGTAAGGGACTTAATAATTAGAACAGGGTTTTGGGGGCTCCTTGTTATTCTTACAGAATTCTTATAGTATACTATATCCCCAAACCTGTTCTAACTATCCGCAGGCGCGGATCTTTCGCCTTAGGGCCTGAGTTTAACCACCTTCACAGGCTCGCTCAGGCAGCGGTCCATCCACTGTTTTTGCTAACATGGTTCCCCACGGTTCTCTACGCTTGTAACTCACAGGCTTTGGGAAAGAGAGTATTAGGGCCAACTGTAAACATGAAAATTTGAGTTTTGATTGGACTAAGCTTCCGGAGCTACGTGCATGTGAAGCATATCAGCATGTGCCCCCGGCAGCCCTGGGCAGTCACTTTAGAAGAGGGTTCAGTCGAGCCTCAGGGGGATCTTGTTATTTTCGGTAAATCTGCTCACCAGTCCTATTGCATTTCGGTGAAACTGGGGCTTGTTCCTAAGACAAGGGTTTAGCACGTGGGCTTTGGGTGTTTTTTAAAGTGTAATGCACCACTCAGCCGTCGGCACTGCTCAGATTGAGCTTACACTAGGAAGAGGGGCAGTGGCTTTGGGGTTTAGGGCTGGGGCTTCAGGCCTTCGGGCTTACAGGGCGCCTTCACTTTCCCACTCTTGCGGCTAGACACCTCCGCCTCAACTTTCCCACTTTTGCAACTGCACCTGGGCCTACTGCGTGCCTCCTCTTTCGGGCTTAGACCTCAATTGCTGGGCGGCGGCATGTGAATAAAACACATAAATGAAACGGATTCTTAATATGGGGGGGACCCATGCGGGTGGACACTCTTCTCTCGCCGTACCCATAGCGAAGCTGCATCACGCTCGTCTTGAACTGGAAATGTTGAACCCTTAAGCACTAAACTCTACAACCCTACTAGAAGGCCTAAGCCCTACCTTAACCCGGAATAACCTACCTTTTTAAGGACTTGTATAAAGAAATCATAAGGAACCCTAAAAAGGTAGGTTATTCGGGGTTAAGGTAGACCCTAAACAGTATAGCACAGTTTTCAGAAAGAGGCCAAGGGATAGGAGTCCTACTATTTTATTTATTCAGACTCCTACACCCTAAACCCTAAAGCTCAAACCCCTAGCATCCTAAATCCCCAACCCTTAAAAAAAACCCTAAACGTAAGCCCGTAAACCCTTAAAGACCCCTAAACCCCCAAACTATCCCCGAAACCCTTAAAAACCCCACCCTAAACCCCTAAACCCCTAAATTAACCCCGAAGCCCTTAAAAACCCCGAAACCCCCGAAACCCCTAAACCCCTTAAACCCAAAACCTCTAAGACCCTAAATCCTTAAAAGCCCTTGAAAAAATGAAAACCAAAAAAAAAAACGAACCGAGGCGGCTTCCAGGAGAGGCCCAGCCCGGCCCGGCCCGGCCTCGGACCGAGGCGTAGGGCAGGCGCATCTCCACGAAGAAGGGCTTGAAGACCCGGAGGGGCATCCTGGGGGTTTAGCTCTTAAGACAGAGGGTTCAGGCTTTAGGCCTTCTGGGGTTCAGGGTTTGGGGCTTAGGGCTCAAGGGTTAGGGTTTGGAGAGCTTTGAGGGTTTGAGGCTTTTTTGTTTCAGTGCAATGGGCCTTCTTCTGCAAAAGGGTGGTTAGAGGGTTTAGGGATTGGGGTTTTGGGTTTGGGGTTTAGGGGAAGTGGAAGAGTGTAAGAGTGTATAGTGTTGTAGGTCATCGGATTATAAGGCTCAGCCGTTCTTTTCAGAGCCCTCCTTCCGTCTGCACCTGCGTCTACGGAAGCCCACTTGAAGCCAGCTAATTCGGCTCCCTCACGCACCTTCACTTACCAAAGGACAAGCGTAGCAAAGGGTTCAGCCTTTAGTGTTTATTTGCCCCAATCCCTAATAATTGGAATAGGGTTTCGGGGCCCATGACACTAAAATTACAGACAAGGCCCCCCCCAGCATAGTATAGGTAGTTTATGCCCCTATGGTAGACTTTTCGGGTTGAGGATTCTATACTGAACTTAGAACCCTAGCAAAAAAATATAATTTTAGCTGTTTCTTAGGGATTATAATAACCAAAAATTACTAATTATTTCGACCTACCCCTAAAGATTTAGGAGTTTCGGCTAGACCTCGCTATGTCGAGGATATGAGCAAGGTGAAGGCTGCCTCTCCACGTATGGTCCCTATTTCTATACATCTCTATCTATCGATCTATCTATCCATCTGTCTATGAATCTATCTATTCATCTGCGGGTATATGTATATATATATATATACACACTGCAAGTGTATACAGATACGTTATCAGATGTATACAGCATTTACGTACGGTTTTGTCCTTACTAGAATACTTCCCCTTTAAGGACCCATAGGACCCACACTGGACCCACCTGTTTGCGACCATAGCTATCTGCCACACACTATACTGAACTTAGAACCCTAGCAAAAATATAATTTTAGCTGTTTCTTAGGGGTTATAATAACCAAAAATTAAAAAAATATTTCTAAGTACCCCTAAGACACAGCTTGTCAACCGCTCGAGTTCGCCAGAATCCCAAACCCCTCCAACTCAAGAGCTCAAGAGTCCCTTTAGCTGATCTGCGCTTCTACGCCCGGGAGTTTGGGGGGCGGAGGGCCGAGGGGGATACGGTTTGAAGGGGTGTTTATACTATACTCATAATAAGGAACCTCCAAAACCCTATTCTAATTATGAAGGCCCTTATACTAGAGACCCTTCGAAGTTCAATCAAGGCATGCGCAGCAACGACATGTCCCCAAGTCCCTTTTCCTGCTACGAACGGCGGAAATCCCATCGGGCGAAGTGGTAAATGCCTCGCCGGCAGCGAGCGCGCTTCAGGTTTAGGGTTCAGGGTTTAGGTGTTTGGTTCAGGATTTGGCTCTTACAGGGTTTAGGGCCTTAGGGACTAGGATTGAAGGTTTTTGATTCTTACACACTGTTCTCAGGATTGAGGCATGATTGGAAGAGGACATCTTTTCGATACCGGCGTGCCTTCCTCGTTTTGCCTCATTACCAGCCAGCTCTACAACAACTTCTCTCCCATGTCGCCTGTAGAAAGACCTCAACCCGCTAATGTCCGAAGCCACGGGCACTCCCCTGTGCCTCCAGACTCCATGTTGTGATAGTATCTGGCGCCGTCACCGGCATGGTGGCACTGGCCACCTCGGCTTGTGACAAGCATACTCTCAAAACACCTTGACAGGGAAGATGGACACATGATGTTCAAACATGATGTTCAAAAAGTGCAAAACCTCATCAAAAAGCGGCAGTGCCACGAATGATGAGATTGGCAACTAGTCGTCATGTCGTGGTACCAACAGCACTCACGGCAGCAGCAGCAGCAGCAGAAATAGTAGTAAAACTAGCATCATGAACATCACCATCACAAGACTGATGTAAACGCAAGCAACCATACCGAGACTTTACTCAATAGCCATACTCAATGTGCTTCTAGCAGTTCTAGCAGCCATCACCGAAACTACTGAATACATACCCTGACTCCGCGGTTCAAAACCCAATGATTCTGAGAGCCCAGAGACTTCTATCCAACGCTCTCATACACCACTGATATTTCCCAAAAAACACCAAACTCGAGCTCTGTTAAAGAACTCATGGCCGAAACGGGACAGCGCTGCTGGCAACCGAGCCACCCCAGCGCCTCGTTCCGGCTTCGGAAAATGTTGGATCAAAAGTTGTTCAGTAGGGCTGAGACTTCCGGAAGCTGGATTACAACAGGAATAGTAGAAGTAGGAGCAGTAGTAGTAGTAGTAGTAGTAGTAGTAGTAGTAGTAGTAGTAGTAGTAGTAGTAGTAGCAGGAGTAGTAGTAGTAGTAGTAGTAGTAGTAGTAGTAGTAGTAGTAGTAGTAGTAGTAGTAGTAGTAACCGTAAATATATTCACCATAATCATAATTTGGTGTTTAAGGCTTTAGGATTTCGGATTTATGGCTTCCTGGTTTAGGTCCTGTAAGGTCCGGTCTAGGGTGAGGGTCATCGGATGTTGTCTGCAGACTTCAGATCCTACTACTGGCGTCAGTGCTCTTGTTCAGAACTCCGGCCGGCCGTGGTGTTCTTGTAACTACAGCTCCTGCTAATTACTGCTGTCGCCGTCTGGGGCTGAAGGGCCAAAGATCCCAAACCCTAACCCGAACCCTAAACCCTAAACCCTGAAGGGCTCAGGGCTCAGAATCTACGGAAGACTCGCCTCCAGTAAGCGCGATGTCTGTCCAAATCCTGGGCGTAGCGACTTGCCATGAGAATTTGTACAGCATGATATCGTTAAGGGGTATACCAGTTTCGGATCCAGTGAAACGAATGAAACCACAAACCAGCAGAGATCCTGGCAAAACACTGAAGGAAGGTGTGCACTCTTTCCGCTTCTGCTAGTCGAAGAACGAGATCAATTAGCCACCCCTCATTTTACGACATGATAGCATTCATCGTAAGCTTCTTCAAACTGGCTGTTCCAACGAAGATGATGCCATTCAGTCAGCCTGAACTGCCCTCGTACACAACAGTCGCAACGCCGAATCTAACAGTAACTACACACAACGGCAAGAGCAACTGCGACGACAGCAAGAACAAAAAAAACGCATCGTCATGTTCGCCATCAGCATCGGCATCACCATCAGTATGGTTTCCTGCTAGTAGCAGCTGCAGCAGTAGCAGCAGCAGTAACGGTAGCGGCGGCCGTAGTGGTAGCGGTATAGGCAGTGGTATAGGCAGCAGCAGCAGCAGCGGTAGCGGTAACAGTAGCGGTAGCAGCAGCGGCAGCAGTAGCAGTAGCAGTGGCATCAGGAGTTGGAGCGGCAGGCGCAGTAGGAGCAGGAATAGTAGGAGGAGGAGCAGGAGGAGTAGTATATAGTAGCTAGCAGTGGCAGTAGTGCCAGCAGCAGCAGCCTTAGCAGCAGCAAGAGTGGCAGGAAAACAAGGGGCAGTGGCAGAAATAGCAATCGCACGAATGGTCACTAATAGCAAACTTAACACCATGTCCAGTGCACCAATCTGGCCTGACGGTGCTACTTCTTCCCTTGCCGTCCGCTGCCGAACTATAAAATTTGATATGACTCAACTACGCAAGAAACGGTGTCGTTCGATATGAAAGGGCAAACTCCTAGTTTAGATCACTGTGTTTAGATCAGCTTCTGCTCGCCCACAAAACCCTTATCGTAAACTGCAAACCCCTCCACCCCCAGTTAAACCTGCAAAGCCACATCTTGTAGGGGCCGTAATAATCAAAATAGGGTTCTGGGGCCCATTCTACTTTAACTATAATAAGGAGCCCCCAAAAATAGTATAGGTAATTATGAAGGCCCCTATACTATGGTACCCTGAAAGACCCTTCTTAAAGGAACCCCTTTGAAGGAACCCTATCATAATTATTCAGGCCCCTATACCCTAAACCCTAAACCCTACTTCAGCCGTGCCGTCCCAAGCGCCAGGTCTCCGGGAAGAATGTCCGCACTGCAGTGGTGCCGCCTGCTTGGAGGTTCATGGGTAGTTATAAGGGTTGATGATATAAATCCTGCATTGCCCGTAATAAGGAATGTACCATAATTGCCATAGTTTAGGGTCCTTAGGGTAATGCAGTGGCATCTATAGGGATTCTATAACGGAATAGGGTTTAGGGTCTACTTGGAGGTTCATGGGTAGTTAGAAGGGCTCCTTTAAGGGTCCCTGTGAAGGGATCTATAGGGATTCTATAAGGGTATAGGGTTTAGGGTCTACTTGGAGGTTCATGGGCAGTTATACGGGTTCCTTTAACGGTCCGTCTAAAGGGATCTAGAGGGATTCTATAACGGTATAGGGTTTAGGGTCTACTTGGAGGTTCATGGGTAGTTACAAAATGGAGTTCTAGGTAAGGTTCCTGTTAGGATTCTATGGGGTTTAAGGTGTAGGGTAGTTGCAAATGGAGTTAAAAGTCCCCTGATGTGGGCCATATCTATGTTACCTCACTTATAACCCGACTTATAACTACCCATGAACCTCCAAGTGTAGGCGATGAGTAAAAACAAGTGAGACCTTTTGAGGGTTCAGACTTTTCATGTTTAGGTGCCCTTCTCCAACTGCATGACAGCTAGAGGACTGTCTTCGAAGTTTAGGGTTTAAGGGAACTTCATAGGATTGAGGCTTCGATGACTACGCGATATTCACTACGGAACTCTTGCAAAACGAGACTGTCAGGATTGAGGCTTTCGCTTTGGGATTTACGGTTTAAGAAGATTCTCGTTCAGCCTATGGTCCGATATTGATCGGCGCAGCACTCGGCGAAACACCATGCACCTCCAGCAGCATCGTCTGAAGGGGGTGCCTCCGGTACCGGCTAAAGCACGAGTGATCATTCCACCATATAGGGCGTACGGTGGGAAGCTACATCCCAAGGCCGAAACTGCAAACCCATTAAGAGCTCCTAAACCCTAAACCCTAAACCCTAATACAGGGGCCTTAATAACTAGAATGGGCTTTTGGGGTACCGGGTATATTATACCATAGTAGGGCCCCGATAGTACGCTTCAGGGCTTCCTGAACTGCTCAGACGAAGGAGCAGCTGTCTCTTGGCCACGCTCTGCCACAGCACCATCATCTTGGGCATCTGCACAAGAGGGTTTATGGTTTAGGGCTGAGGGTTTAGGGGGTTTAGGGTTTAGGGTTTAGGGTTTAGGGTTTTGGCTTGGGACTTAGGGTTTAGCGTGGTTTAGTGTGCGGATGGTTTAAGATGTCAGACAGTTGAGGGCTTAGGGTCAATATAGTGTTCAGGGTTTAGGGTGCGGGTGAGGCGTTGCTCCCTTGGACAGCCCGCAAAGTTACCTTGTAAGCTCTCGGTAAGACAACATGCGGTAAGACCCCTCAAGGAATTGAAACCAAGTGATACAGGGGCCTTAGTAATTTCAAGAGGGTTTTGGGATGTTTTGGTGCCACAATGAAGTATAAATATATAAATGTAAATATCCTAAGCGGGCATTACTGCTAATTCTTCCGACTGCTTTCGTTGGGCTTTGGCCTTACGAGGTGTTCACCGCAGTGTTTCGGATTTAGAACTCAGAACCTCAGAACCTGGAGAAGCAGTGTTGCAATTAGCATGGTTATTATCGGTTTAGAGTTTAGGGTTTAGGGTTTAGGGCTTAGGATTATAATGGCATCTTGTTCTTGCTGGTATTACCCTGCTTCTTCTGCTCATTGCTCTCACAGCACTTATGTTATGAGCTGCAGAATTCTGCAAGGTCAAGGCGGCAAGCCTGCCATTTCTGGCATTCCCCCGGCCATGGCTTCCATGAACACCAGGTCCCCACCGCCGCCACCTGTGCCAGGGCTCGCGGTTTTGGGGTTTTCCAGCAACAGTCGTCGTCGCCGTTGTGGTGGCTGCTCCTGCTATTACTGCTGTTGATGCTGCTGCTGTTGTTGTTGATGTTGTTGATGTTGTTGATGGTGTTGATGTTGTTGATGTTGTTGATGAGGATGAGGACGAGGATGAGGATGAGGATGATGATGATGTAGTCGTCGTCGTCGATGTTGTTTGTGCTGCAGTCGTAGTCGTAGTTGTTGCGGACACTGTTGCTCCTGCTGCAGCTGCTGCTGCGCGCTACCGCGCACTGATGTGACACACACGGACATGGTGAGGCCGCTGCAGGTGCATACCCTAAACCCTGAACCCTAAGCCCTAAATCCCCCAGAGCAACCGCAGCAAGAAAACTAAAAGAAGCCGAGATCATCGGCAAACATCCCCGGGCCTCTTTCGCAGAAGTCCCCTGGCGCAGGCACGAGACAGCAAGTGGCCCCTATCAAAAAAAAACTGTCCCAAGATATGGCCATGAGGTAGCCTCCCTTTTGGGCCACTTGCCCCTTCAGATGCAGCTTTAGGACACCCCCGAGACAGCGAGCAAGCGTACTGAGTGCTGGGCCATTGAAGAGAGGTCGAGGGCAGCTGGCACCCAGCGACTGTCAGGGTGAGTGCGCTGCCATCACTACCCAGTCCCCCGCAAGGATCTAGAAAGTAGATCCCCTAATTTGGCGCCCTATACTACTAAGGGTACTTTATAGGAACCCCCCTTAAGGGATCTACTTTTGGATCCTCCCGGGGGTCTGGGTATGCACTGAGCCCTAAGCTCCCTGAAACCCTAAAAGAGTCACTTGCGTAATGGTGATGGTCGTCGTCATGATGAGCATGTGCCTACAACAGTCACTGTCTCAAACCCTTTACGTTAATGAGAATATCTCGGGAAGACTCATCAACAAAAATGCACGCCAGAAATTGCATCAAACTCATAATCGACTAAGACAGCCTCGTAATTTCGGAGTGGGTCGAACCGAACTCCCACGAACAATGCGAAGTGGTTCTGAGGCACGGTCGAAGCTCTTTTTCAGGGTGCAAAGCTTCACAGGCTTTGGCCACGAACAACGCAAATGTTCCTGAACCCTAAACCCTAAACTTCGTAGAGCAACACCTCAACCAGTGCCTTTAACCATAATTCGAAGCTCAAAGGCCCTCCGAACAAAGTTGATATAGAGGGCTTCATAAGTCGACTAGACTTTTCGGAGTTCCTATACTATGCTTACATTGGCTTTGGGAGGTTCTATATGCTCGTCCTGTCAGCCTCAGGAACAAGAATGTCAATGAATCAGGTCCTTCTATACTCCGTCTCAGTGCGGCACCTGTCCATACGCGCTGTCGTCGCTTCCCGGCGCAATGCTCGTATCCATGACTACCTGCCAGCAGGGACTGCCCTCCCGAAAGCCCGTAAAATAGGGGCCGTAATAATCAGAATAGGGTCGGGCCCATTCTGCTGTAAACACAAAAAGGAACCCCAAAATAGTATACTTCCTTCCTGTCGGACTCTGGTGCCGCGAGGGCGCGTCCACTAAATCTGAATTCAACATGCGGGTGAGACTGAAAAACAATCGCCTGGCCTGCGATCCCAAAAGCCGGCCAAAATAGTATAGGTAATTATTTAGGCCTTATAGTATGATTATCAGCATCATGACGGATAACTTTCTACCGGGACGTACCGGGACCACTCGGATTACTGCTATTGCTTGATTGTGAGTGCACTCAATAAGGACACAAGGAAGGCAACCTCAAGTCCCAAACCCAAAAGAGCAAACCCTGAATCCTGAAGCCCGGAAACCCGGACAAACGAAAGTCGCTCAACTCAAGAAACAGGCTGCCTGACCTGAACCCTCTCTGGCAGCTCCGCGACCACCTTGCAACGAGCACGATCAATCGGACAGCTAGCATGGCGCTGAGGATTTAGGGCTCAGGCTCAGGGTGTGGGTGGTTGTCAAAATTATGGTTCCTTTTTGGGTGCCCTAAACAATAGGTGCCGCATTATAATAAGGACCCAAAAAGGGACCATAATTGTGAGAACCACCTGTATAGGTCTGCGAAACGAGAGAGGACAAGATATTGAGGCCCCCGGGTTGTAAATGAAGCCCCAGGGATCTGCACCGGCTTGTTTCCCGTGCTGCTTGACGCTTGAGGTGCGCAACGAGCACGTCAAGATCCCGGCCATCAGATCGTCACCATGAACACCTCAGGGGACAGCTTCGGGCTTCAAACAAGTACGGATATCGGTAAAGGTTCCTTAGTGCGGCCCAGGCGGTTTACCATGCAAGAACTTCAAAAGGGCTCAGGGTTTAGGGTTTAGAGGTTTAGGGGTTTAGGGGTTTAGGTGTTTGGTGGTTAAGGGGTTGTTCCAAAAGCATGGGGTGTGACTCAACTTCGAAGCAGAAAGTGCCAACCCTTGAGTGGAAGCCTAGAACACGATTTTGGGAAGCCCTAAACCCTTACTAAACCCGAAACCCTCACCCCTTAGTAAACCTCAAACCCTCAACCCTTACTCAACCCCAAGAGCTCAACCCTTACTGAACCCGAAACCCCCCAAAAAAAAACTGAACCCCGAACCCAAACGACTTAGCACTAGACATTAACCCCTACACCCTAAACCTAAGCCCTAAACCCTACACCCTAAATCCTAAACCCTGAACCCTACCCCCCAAAACTCGAAACCCTACACACCCTGCGAAGGCCCGGGCTGCAGTGCCTCCAAATCCTGGCCAAGCTCCCATGGGCCGAAGCGGTAGGGCTTTAAGGGCTCTAAAGGGTTTAGGATCCACGTTTTAGGGTTTAGGAGTTTTAGGGATTAAGGGTCCAGGGCTTTCAGGGCTTTCAAGGTTTATGGTTTAGGGTTCAGGGCTTAAGGGTTCTACTTGGACGTACATGGGTAGTTATACATGAAATTATAAGTTCCCTGATATGTGTTCTAGCGACAGTTACCCTGCTTCTACCCCCCTTGCAATTACCCATGAACCTCCAAGTAAGGGCTTTAAAGGGTTTAGGGCTAAGGGTGCAGGAATGGTTGTGTAAGGTTCAGGGCATTGAAAGTTCAAAGGCTTTTATAAGGTTGGGGGTTCAGGATTCTACGGTTAAAGGTTTAGGGTTTAAGGTTTTCGGTTTCTGGCTTATGGGGGCGTGAGTTTTGGGGTTGCAGATTCAAGAAGGAGTGCAATAAGGGTCTTAGCGGGTTTTCGGGTTTGGGATTTTAGGACAGACAGTCGAGGAGTGTTGTGCATTTTCAGCACGAAGGCCAGTACAACCAAACTGCTTCCTGCTCAGCCGTAAGCTACGAATGAAACGTCATCTATTGGCCTGAGCAAGGAAGGAGATAATATAGCGATCTGAAGAGGTAGAATAGGGTTTTGAGGAACCCGAAGGAATTGATTGGCAAATATTTGGGATTCTTCACTGACAGAGGTCGGCAGAGAACAGAGCTCCTCTTTGTCAGCAGTGCCAGAAGAGCAAAAAGCAACAGGAGCCGAAAGAAGGGCATGAAGTCTTGGCACAACTGGTTCTACAAATCTGAAGTAGCACAGCAATGGCCCCAAAGGAGAACATGAAAGCAAACACCAACCCCAAGTGCGTGCCGTGAGTGTCCTGCCCGATACTGGCGTCGCTGCAGCCCCATCTGCTGCCTTTTCCAAAGCGGCCAACAGAGAGGGCCTCGGCAGACTTGACGAAAGCATCCCCCCTCAGGGTTTACTATAGGGGCCTTACTAATAAGAATAGGGTTTGGGGGCCCATAATACTACAACTGTAAGAAGGAACCCCCAGATCAGAATCGGTAGTTATTTATATAAGCCCCTGTATTAAGGCTTCCTTATGTCAGGGCTCAAGGATCCCACCACTGTGGTCGGGTAGGATACATGCCTGGTCACCCTAAACCTCAAGCCCCTAAGTAAACCAGAAACCTCAAGCCCTAAACCCTAAACCCAAACATTGGACCCCAAAAAATTGAACCTTGAAGCCCTAAACCCCTAAACCCCTAAACCCCTAAACCCAGAACCCTAAACCCTAAACCCCGAAAGCCTAAACCCGGAACCTTAAAACCCCTAAACCCCTAAACCCTAAACCCCTAAACCCCTAAACCCCCAGAACCCTAAACCCCTAAACCCCTAAACCCTAAACCCCGACCTTAAACCCTGCCTAAGCCTGCGGCTTGCCAATGGCTGCTCGTGTCCCTAAGAGCTCGGCCGAGCGGTCCAAGGACCTGAGGATGTGCCCAGAGACTCCAATATCCCTTAAATAAGGAATATTCCTTAATTTTTCTTAGGGATCCTACTATAATTTTACGGAATATTCCTTAATTAAGGGGTATTGGAGTCTCTGGGTGTGGCCCAGGGTTGGGTTTGGTTTGGGGTTTAATAAGGTTCCTTTAAAGGGATCTGTAATAGAATCTATAAGGTTTGGGGTTTTAGGGTTTAGGGTTCAAGGTTTTAAGGGTTTAGGGTTTAGGGTGGAGGGTTTAGGGCTTTAGGGTTTAAGGGTGTAGGGTTTATGGCCCATGCTTTGTGCTTGGGGGCTTGGGGCTTTTGGTTTGGGGTTCGGGGTTTCGGGTTCAGTGGTCGGTCGGACATGAGTGGGCCTTAACGGCTTAAAATCTGGTTTCTGCGTACCTCAATTGGGGCTACTAACTGCGAACCCTAGGCCCTAAGCGTACCCTAATCCCTAGTAAGACCCAGCTCTAATGATGACTCAGCCAGACCATGATGCTCATGACTCTAAACCCGAGACTCGAAGAAGCCCTCGTTTCGTTTGACCCCTCTCTCTGATTCTCACTCAAATTGAAAGCGCAGAGTGAGCAAGCAGGTTTGGTGTAAGGTTCAGGACCCCTAAATTTCAAAACCCAAACCTAAGTCACCGCTGCAACGGAATACTGTGGTAAACTAGCCCCCTATTGCCCCTTTTACAAATACAACATAATGTGCCCCAAAACCCCATCATCTTTGCTAAGCCTCCTATATTTGGGAGTTTCCGAAAATAGGGGACCCTAATATAGCACCCTAAATAGTAGGATCCTTATTATAAGGACCCCAAAATAAGGTACCCCTAATTTTAGGAAACTCCCATATTTGCCATCGTGGGAGCACACTCTGAGAACTGGAAAACACGAAACTCGGCCCTCTGCGTCACGAAGGCGTGGACGGCCTCAGGATTGTCACTGAGCTGAACAGCTATAGCTGTAGAAATACCGATTATAGTGGTAGTAGCAGTATAGTAGCAGCAGCAGTAGTAGTAGTAGTAAGAATAGTCGCAGAAGAAGGAGGAGGAGGGGGAGCAGCAGCAGTCGCCGCCGTCGTAGCCGTCGTGGAACGTAGTAGAACCAGCAACACAATTATCCACCGATGATTGCTAGGTCTAAGGCTCTAAGGCAAGGAGTTCTGGAATGATGCGAATACTACAGGGGAAAAACCAATTGCCAATACGTAATGTTCAAAACAATTTTGCCACTAAAGCATGCCTATACCGAACAATAATACTAACTGCTGTGGCAACTCAGTATAATCACCATGATTAGTATTGGCCTTGTTCTAGCTGCTGGAACTTACAGTGCAAGTGTGTTAACGTGACTGGAAGGGATACCGTCATTATTTATTCCTAAACCCTTCCAGGGACTATGAAATGACCGTTTTGAAAACCTTTAGCAAATCCGTAGATAAGCTTCAAGAGAAAGCATATGATGACTGGTTACTCCTTTACCCACTATAAGGAACCAGACAACTTTTAAGAACCGTTAAAGAACCACTTTCAGCTATTGAGCTCCGTGCCCGCGGGGTGGTGCCCGAAGGCAAGGCTGCAGCCTCGTGGCCGTCTTGGGATTTCGGCTGAGGGGCTCGGGCAGTCAGATTTAGGATGCGAGGTCGGATTTTGGGGGTTTACGGTGAATGGCATTCGGGGTTTAGGGTCGAGGGCCTTGGGAGTTTCACGCACTTGGGACCCTTCCAAAACAGCCTGTTTTACTAGGGACCTTCTTACAAGATGCTCCCAGGAACTTGAAAAGGGGCTCCCGAATGAAGGGCCGAATCCTAAACCATTTAGGGTTTGGATTTCAGGGTTTCGGCTTTGGGGCTTAGTGCTTAAAGCTTCCCTCATCCCTAAACCCTAAAGATTGCCTTGCAGTAAATTCCCGAACCCCTGAACCCGAACCCCGAAACCTACCAAAGAAAACTGTACTAAAACCACCACCTCCAGCTGCACCGCCAGCTGCGCTCCAGGCTTCACCTCACCCCAGAGCGCCCCTTTTTTTGGTGATTTTAGGATTTAGGGCTGAGGGGTTTTGGTCTTAGGAGTTTCGCGTGTGGGTTGTTTATTGTGAAGGGTTTGTTCTCGTTTCTACTACAGATGAGCGTCGCGGACAACCATATTG